CGTGAGAACAAAAGGTTTATGAGAGCACATTACTCATCACTTGGGGAGAGTACATTAGGTGCAGAGAGTTTTTTCGAGAAAGGACTAAAAAAAAATTAATGGATCAAGAGAGAGATCTAAGTCAAGAAACAAAAATTACAATGGCATAAAATGTTATTATTGTGGTAAAAAAAGACATATCCAAGTGCGCTGTAGGAAGCTGAAAAGGGATATGGCTGCTTTCAAAAAGGCAAATGATGAGAAAAAATCAGATGAAGAAAAGAGTGATACTGCTGCCATCATGTTTGATGATGATGATGTTTTGACAACTTGTGTGGATGAGACTCAGATTTTTAAAGATGATAAAGGTTGAATTTTAGATTCAATTGCTACAGTTCATGTTTGCAATATAGGAGTTATTTTGTAGAGTTGGATGAGAATGAGAAGTATGAAGATATTGTAGTTGCCAACAACAAAAAGATACAGATTCAAGACATTGGGAGTATTCACCTTAGATCTCACAATAATTTTGTTAGGATGCTTCGTCATGTAAGATATGTACCGAGTTATAGAAACAATTTAATTACTTTGGGTGAATTAGCTTCTTGAAGGTACACATATTATGATAATAATGATTGGTTGAAAGTGTACAAGAATGGTAGTGTGATTTTAAAAGAGAATAGGATCAAAAATCACTCGTACATGCTTGATGGAGGCTCAGTTGCTGGGATCCCTGCAATGAAAGAAAAGAAGAAAGGTAAGCGTGTTAGCTTGATAAATACTATTGAAATAATTGTAGATTCAAGTCAAGGGAGGATTTGTTGGGATTTATCTTGAATCTTATAATCCCACATTGAAAGTTATAAGAGCTTTGAGTTTGTCTTGTATCCCACATCAAGAGTTTAGTAAAGGTATAAGGGGTTTCACCCTTATAAATAAGATATTTTAGTTTTAATTTGATAATCTCAGACAGTTAGACACCAAGAGAATAGCTAGGTGAGTAGGCTATTAAAATGGTATAGTTTGGTTTTAGGTTAAGTTTTGTGTAAGGAGTTTTTGGAAACTTTTCTCATTCTAAAAATCTCTCACAGTTGTAAATATTTATTTGTTATTGGATTGAGTTTGGAGTAGGTTATTTTGAGTTGAGCCGAAACAAATATATTTGTGTGTTTTTATATTTGATTTGAGCTTATTATTTTATGTGTGGATGCTGCGTGTGTGTATTGATTTTTTCAACAAGAACTCCTCTTACTGAAGTTGTAAGATCATTTTTCTAACGTCTATGAAGCATAAATCAGGCTATTATTATTTAGCTATAATCATAATTTTGTTTTTCTTCCTCGCAGGATTTTCAAGAAGAAAATTTGTTGAAAGCTGTCATCTCACGAACTCTTTTGGGACGTAGATGAGAGCCTGAAGAAATCTCTTCCTTGGTGGCATTCCTATGCCTGCTGTCAGCCTCGTTCATTACAAGACATATTATTTGTGTTGATGGAAGGGTGACAGTGAATAGCTTCTCGTTCCAAAGAACATGATAAACTATGCATTACAAGGCTGAATTATTGTCCAGGGGGACAACTTTAATACCTATCTCTATATATCATGTTCTCATTTTCAAGTTTGAGCGACCAAGTTTTTCCCATTCAACATGTATAATAGGGTTGATATAGTGCCTAGATCATTGAGATCGTATTCTTCTAACTGGATTTAACAGAGGAAATCTATCAATCTGTTCACTTGCAGTGTTCTGTGAAATTATTGAAAACGAATTTGAATTGATCTCTCTCTTAATGCGTTAATATTCGTTTTCTTTAGCTACGGAAGAAAATGTTATAATTTGATATGGAAGATGCTGTATTGAAATAAAAGTACCCAAATCTTTAAACCTTCAAATAGGACAAAAAGAATTAGATTTACATGACAACTTGTACATAAAAACCTGAAAACACTAATAAGATTTTGCCATTTTAGATTATCTAGATGTTTTAATTTTACATGGAAGTTTCTGTGTTGAAATAATAGAACTAGCCAACAGCTGTGTACTCGTTTGATACTGTTAGGATATGTTCAATGTATAGGATCATGATAAGATATGATAAAATGATATTACGAATAAAATTAAATTAAATAATATTATTTTATCTTATATTTAATGCATGTAAAGATTAAGATATAATAATTTTATTTATTGATCAAAATTATTTTTTTAAGTTTATATAATTTAAATTATTGATATAATTTTTAAAAGTATAATGAGACATGTAAATTCAATCTTATGAATTAAAAATAATTCTCTCAACTTAGAAAAAATTAGATTATCCTATACTAAAAAGATGATTAATCATTTTCACAATCATATCACTTTTTTTAGATAGAAATCAAATATGATACAAAATAATTATAATTATATCCTATTTACCATCCTCTGCATCAAAAATGATTTTAAACTTTTAGTTTCAGTAATCAAGATTTAAATTCTAATAATTTCGAATATAAAAAAAATCAAAATTTTAATGATTTAATAACAAAGTACTAAATTTTTAATTTCAGCTATCAAAATTCAAATTATGACTACTTCAAATATAAAACATTTGCACAAGAAAACCAAAATATACCTATAAAATTTTGCCAATCCATTTGAATTCAACTAGCATTAATTGCAAAGTCTTCCAAATATTATAACGGGAAGCAATAATATAATAGAGGAAGATTTAAAAGGGAGATGTCTTGGGTACAACAAAAACTCTGATAGCGGTTGTTAAGAAAAACGAGAACACACTTATACTAATTATTAGAAAATATTTTTATTTTTCCTTAACAATAATACCATTAATATGATATAATCAATTATTTTTCTTCTTCAATGTAGTAAACATTTATGATGAAATGATATGCGGAAATATAACTTGGGCTATAAATGATTTGAATATGAATAAACAAACATAAATTTACGATTTATTCATTTATTTTTAGAGGTATTGGGACTCATTCGTATTATTGTGTCTACCAGCAGGTTCTTATATGACAGGGCAGACTATTTGCATCGATGGGGGATGACAGTGAATTGCTTACTCTATCCTGCAATGGTCAGCACCCACGCCATTCCCAATCTTAAAATGATGCATAAGATCACTTCGGCAAAATTAAATAAATAAATAGAAATGATGCATAAGGCACCTCAACTACATGGTCAACTTCCTAGTTGTTGGTCGTCTTTCTCTTTCTTTCCCCTCTTAATTTGTCAGTCTGAAAAACTCTAAATTGCAGCTCTTGCTTGAATATGGATTTTATTTCTGTTGTCTACCGAAATAAACTAAAAAATGCTTCTTGATTTTGGCTGCAAAATTTCTAATATTCTTGTCATCACTAGTTGATATTAAGAACAAAAATGGCCTATTAGTAGTATACGATTAAATCCAAAGATAAATAAGAAATCAATCGAAAAATTAAAACAAGTGAAGTACAAATGTTTTAGATTGATCTTCCAAGCTAGTAATTTACAATATAAGCATGCAACATTCACCAACCACATGGGCAATTGTTTTAATACAAAATGAGTAACCAACATTCAAAGCTCCAAAAATGCAGTGTTTGCGTTTGCATGGGCACCCACTAAGATACAACATGCCCGTATGGCCGGGTCATACAAAAATCAAATTATCTGTTACACATTTAAGAAAGCATCTAATGATTAGTATTTATTTCAGTAAGTTCATTAATTATTTTAATAATAATCAACTGACTTAACAACACATAAATATATCTCATGATTTAAATAAAATATTGACACGTGGAGTAATAGTTTATAAATCCTCGTGAGAATGATAAAGAATTTTGAGAGTAAAATATTTTTGCATGCAGTTATATACAATGGGGTGGAATTCAAGATTTTAAGTCATGGGATCAAATTAAATAATAACTATAATTTAAAATTTTTTATTTAACATATAATATGTTATTATTTGATTAAAAGTTATAAAAACTTTAGGTAAAATATGGTATTTCATAATATAACCATAAATAAGATAAATAAAAAGTTCAAATATTGAAATAAAAAATATATAATTATTAAAAATAAAAGAAACTCAAATAATTTTATTTAAAAATGTGCACAATGATCTTTCATAAAAAAAATTATTAAATTGAAAAGTTTTAACAAATTTTCTCTTAGTGTAGAGAATAAAATTAAGATTTTCTTTTGATAAATATTAATAATTTTTTTATTTAAAATTAAAAAAAAATTTATTATTAATGATTTCAAAATCAAAAGACAAAGATGAATGGTCTCCTTGTAACATCATTGTAATTAACTCTATGAGAAAATAAGAATAAACCTTTTATAGTAGCTATAACGATTTTGTGTTGGTTTAAGCTTTTAAAGGATAAGACTTAATAGTGGGTTTAGACTTTTAAGAAATAATATTTGTGTCTTTTTTTGTTCTATTAACTCTTTTTTTTTTTTTTTGGTTAAATTTTTTTGAATAGTTTTGACATTTTAATATGAGTCATATTTAAATAATACATTTATTTTTAATTTGTTAATAAGAACTAAACTATAAATTTTAATACTTTTATAAATGAATTGAACTTTGAGATTTGAATTTTTTGTATTAAAATTTTTTTAAAATTATAAATACAAATTATGATCATAATCAAGTATTACATAATTGAATAATCAAATAATAAATTAAATAACAAATTTGAGTATAACTAAATAAATCTAATATAAAATTAAAATAAATTCGTATATAATAAAACTTGAACATAAATATTGAGATTTTAAATATTTATAATCACAAAAAAATTATTTATCAAATTTTTTTTTAGAGGGGTCACTTTTACTTCGTTAAAGGAATACTTATAAATTAGATGCATTATGTACATGTAGAGGGCTGGAAAAATCTTGGGGTAGGCCCCCTCTTGTTCCAACGTGGCTCCACCACTGGCTATATATGTGGTAGAACTAATCAAGGCTGTCCTTTTCCATAATAATTTCGTATCGGATCAACATTAGTCACCAGTGGCCTAGATGGGGACGAGTATATCATCCACATACACAAAATATATCTAAATGGCAGCAGAGAGAGAGAGAGAGAGAGGCTGAGGCAGAGAAGTGAGAATATGGCTCAAGCAGATAACTCTAACAGATGGAGTCTTCATGGCATGACTGCACTTGTTACTGGTGGAACCAAAGGAATCGGGTAATTTTTCCTCTCTTCTTCTTCTCCCTCTTTCTCTCTTGCTCATTTTTTTAGCCTGTAATTAATTATCTGCTTTTGCAAATTTGATAATCTAATATTAGAAAAAGATTTTGTACTTTTCCAAATTTGACACCTATTACTGCAATTAGGCATGCTATCGTAGAGGAATTGGCAGGACTAGGAGCTAGAGTTCATACATGCTCCCGAACTGAAACTGACCTCAACAAATGCTTACTTGAATGGAAAGCAAAGGGTTTCCAAGTTACAGGTTCGGTCTGTGATGTTTCATTTCAGGCCCAAAGGGAGAAGCTACTAAACACAGTCTCCTCTGAATTTGAGGGGAAACTTAACATCTTGGTAAGCAACATCGACTTAGGTAATGTGAAACTCATGTTTTTGATCATCGTTGGTACTGCAGATAAACAATGTTGGGACGAATGTTATGAAACTGGTTTCGAAGTACACAGCGGAAGAATTTTCATTTCTTATGAGTACCAATTATGAGTCAGCTCATTACGTGAGCCTACTTGCACATCCTCTTTTGAAAGCTTCAGGAGCAGGAAGCATTGTGTTTCTCTCTTCAGTTGCTGGCCTAACTCCAGTAAGATATGCGTCTATATATGGAGCCGCAAAAGGTAACTTTACTTCAAGTATATTGAAGATTGACATTAACTCTTACCCCAAAAAACAAAAATCTTGTACCATTTTGTTTCAGGGGCCATAAACCAGCTTGCAAAACTCTTGGCATGTGAATGGGCTGGAGATAATATTCGGGTTAATGTTGTTGCGCCATTTGTGATCAGAACTCCCCTCACTGAAAGTGTAAAAATTTTCCTTTAACAGCTTTCAGCATGATCATAATTGGGCTTAGCCATCATGAATAGTATTATATTATTCATGTTTTCATTCTTCTCAATTTGCAGGTTATTCAAGATGAAAAATCAATTGAGGCCATCATCAATCTAATTCCGATGGGACGCATTGCAGAGCCAAAGGATGCGTCGGCGACGGTGGCATTCCTGTGCTTACCTGCAGCTTCTTATATAACAGGGCAGATTATTTGCGTTGATGGAGGGGTGACATTGAGAGGCGTCTTCTTCCCAAGAAACATACCCTGAAAACACAACTGTTCCCAAGTCCCAACCCAAATTTGTAGTTTTGTAACGTATAAGACACTTTTGAACTAGAGGTTGCATGGACTGGGCCAAGATGGGCTATGGCTCGAGCCTCGGGAAGCTAGTGAGCCCACTTACAAGCCCAAACTTTGGTAATAATAATTGCACTTTTTTATATATTGTGAGTAAATTTTAATTTAATTAAATTAATATATATTACTTATTTAACCATATAAAATCTTATATCTTAGGCTTTGCTTCAAATAGTGAAAAAGTAGAATTAAATTAAAATATATTAGTTGTTTAACAAATCACGGGAATCCTTGATGATTTCGAGCTAAGTGGGTGCCTTATCGTGTTCTTTGATGGGGTCCAATGGAGGGGGAACCCGATTGTCTCTGTTCCTTAAAAGTTGAAAGAGATCATTCAGCTGTTCACATGTTCCACCATTTTTAGGACAACATGGATGACGCTGTCTGAGCTCAGAAAGTGACTATTTGACGTGGAAACTTGTAATCCAGTTTCATAGAATAGAATATGAGAAGGATTAAAGTTAAACGCCAGACAAAATGTAATTCTAAAATTTGACATCCTGGAGGAAATCTGACTAGGAAAGGAAAACCTGACCAAACCAGAAACTTGGTACCATGTCACACACGCAATAAACAGATCACTTGTCCAATCCTGGATTGTGACTCTTGAGGTGTTTGTGCTGGTTTTAAACCGAATCTCTCTGACTTGAGAATTTGTTAACAAGAATTAACATCTGTTTGATGGGGAGTGGTGTTGGATAGACAAACAAACCAAACTCTTAACAGCCAAGTTTTCCATATTTCTCATACCATAAAACCCAATCAAAATAGGAAAATATTATAATCTATAGACAAATCAGTAGAGAACAAAATGTTGGTTGAAAAATTGAATCGTGTGACGATGAACCTCGTGCCATTCATCAATATATGACCAAATATAGTATTAGGCAAGACTGAAAAAATCAAAATCGAGGAATACCTTGATTCCAATCTCCAAATATTTCTCAAATATTAATTATGAACAGGGTAATAAGATGATTCATGTGATATTTTATCACGTTGATTAATAAATTTATACATAAATTGAGTTATTTATCCGGTTCATAAATTTAATCCTATTCAAATAGATAAAAATTTTTGGATTTAATATGAGATTATTAAATTTTAATAAAAATATTTTTTAATTAAAAAATAAAATTGATATATTTTTCAAAATATAATATTTTTCGATCTAACAAACTAAATTCAATCTTAAACAACGCTTCTAAAAGATTACTCGAACCTAACCCCACTTTATCAAGACACTTATATTAATGAAATACTAATAATTAATGACTATATAAGCTTTTTGTTTTTTTGGCTTGAAAAGATGTAAATTGATTAAGTAGTGATATAAGTTGAATTCGGCTCCAAACCTTTAATTTAATAATTAAAAATATTTAAAAATATATTAAAATTTTGAATTTAAATCAATTTTTTTTTATTAAAATTTTATTTTTTATGTAACTTTTAAAAAAATATACATAAGTTGGATCCATTTTAACAATGCTAGTACGTTCTTAAATTATCTTGATGTAAGTGTCACGAATCTAAAAAAAAATTTTGAATCTTACATTAAACATAATAAGATGATCATTGAGATATAAAAGGATTCACATACACTTCTATCTTATGAGATTATTTTTATAAGATAAAATTATGATATCAAAAATCATGATATCAAAAATTAAAACGAACAATACTTTATAAGAATGTGAATCGTGACAAAAAATTGATCTAAAATATCACATGAATAAATATTTAAATCTTAAAATCGTATAAATTCAAAGTTTAAATTTTAACACGTGACATAAAAACTCATCACTTTCTCAAGAAAATCATTAACATACCTTTCGGGTACATAAAATATTCATTCGGATTTGCTCTTTCACGAAGTATTACATTAATTAATTAAGCGTTTAGCATCGTTCAGTCCAAAACTCCAAAATCCACATTCCAAATGCATGATCACATCTCACAGAAAAGTGTAATTAATGAACAGAAACATTAGATAAAATTAGTAGTATATTTTACTTTTAGCACTTTTTTGAATAAAATAATTAATTAAAATTTTGTCCATAAGTCCTTTTTTCTCCTTATTCTTTCTCGTGATTGTATGAAGCTTGGTAAGTGCAGCTTTGCCTACTAAAAGGGGAAAAAAGACAAACACCATTTCTTTAAAAGTCCAAGAGAAAAAGTGTCATTAGTCATTACTACCATCAATATATGATCTCAAAACACTAATTTCCTTGACCTTTAAACTCTGATAAATTAAAAAAAAAAAATCCAAATCCTCTAATCCCTTGAACTTAAATCCCCTGTTATAGGCTGCCAAGATACAACCTGCAACCAGACTTAGGTGTCAATTGGAAACCATCTTTTTCTGGAAACTTAAATCCCCTGTTCTACCCATGCGTGGTTATGTCACCGCGCCTAATGTAATCAAAACCATGCACTGAAAACCACGCCCACACGCAATCTGCCCAACATGCACTAAAACACCGTCACCACGTAGCCTGCCCCCCTCCCCTTGAATTTCCCTTACTTCAACCGGTCAAATTTCTTTTTTTTTTTTTTTAATCAAACCAAACATCCCATACCTGCCCCCTTTTTCCGTTTCCGCCCTATACGTGTCATGTTCGTCAATCCACGTACCCATTGCCCTTTACCCTTTTGGCCACGCGTCACTTCTATACGTTCCCCAAGAGAAAGAAGCATCTCGTTTTCGACACCCGATCCTTTACAGGAAACAATTTCCTTTCTTTCTCTCCCTTTCCTCCGTTGTGGATTGTGGCCCTGGTTTCCTTCAAATGGAAAAAGAGTTTGGTAGTGTTTCATTTCCAAAGCAGAAGAAGATCAAGATGAAACGAAAACCAACCTAACTAACCAGACATTCCACAACTCCGGTTAAAGCAGTCTAGTCTGGTCCTCAATTTTCACTAGCCTTTAGTTTTTATCACTCCCAAAAATCACGTGGCAACCTTAACCTTTTTTTTCTCCGATGTGTCGGCTGCATACAACCCCCGTCGGTTACTACAAGTTTTGCTTGCCAGCATGATTTTACACGTGTACCTTTCTCTACGGGGTCTGTCACCCGTGGCCCCACTTTTCCCGTACTTTCCTATCAGTCAATTCAGAGTTGTCCAATATTACAAATCCACGTGTCCTGCAGAATCCAGTCCGTGTGATTTTGTTGCTGCTTACCTGAAAATATGCTCTTCCCTTTCATAATTGTGTACGGTAAAGGGCCTAGAGGGGCCTTCAGCTTCCTTGGGGGGCCAAACTGTAAAAATAATAAATTTTGTGGGGCAATGTTTTAAATTAATGTCCAGCGACGGATTACCTGACTCGGGTCCGATTAGACACGTGTTCCAGAGTGAGGACCGAGGGACTCTGGATATATTTTCTATTTATAAGTGTCAACGATGTGGGCGTGGAGACCCACAAGTGAGTAATTGATACGTAGACGAATTTGATTGGGCCACGATACCTTAAGCAGAATAATTTTGAAATTTTAAGATGGAAAAAAAATTGTGGCGTAATCTCGTATTCCACGTTAGACACGTGGACAACAACTCGAAAAAAAAAAGGAAAATGTTTTTTCCTTTTTTTTTCTCATTTCAAAAATAGTTCAAAATAATTAAAAAAAACAACAACCTGCGGGTGGACCACATGCGTGTCAGGAAAGGAAGTCCCTCCTATAGCGGTGTTGAAATCTGATTGGATCACGTAAGAGGGAACCTGACTAGAGGAAACACGTGGTGGATATGCAAGGGAAGAGAGATGTGAGATTAACGGTGGAGATGAGTTTATTTTGATAATTTTAAACACAAAATTAACATCATTTAAATTTTTAATAAAAGATATTTTATGATTATATTTATACTAATTTTTATGTAATATTTTTTATATTTTTATTTATTTAATATGATAGAAATAAAATAAAATATAAATATAAATATTATCACAATTAATTTAAAAAAAGCACCACATTCGATGGTACAAATAGAGTACTACATTGAACTAAAAAATCGATTTAAAATGGTAACATTATGTTTGGATTAATTTGTTTATATTCCATTCGGTTTTGATTATATTTAATATTTTAATTTGATAATCATGAATAAAAATAAAATATTTTAATCAACTTAAAATTTTTTATTATTATATATTAAAAATTATATAAAAATGTTAATAAAAATTAAAAAATATTTTTTAAAAAAAGGTAAATTGAACGAAATGAAATCGATAAAATCCGATGAATTCGATTTCGAAATTAATTTTCAAAATTCAAAATATCACAAATTAATCGAATTAACTAAAATGAATTTTATCACTAGTACTAGACGGGCAGCCTGCCCGTTGCGACCTAGAAAAGAGCATCCCGAACCGAAAACTACTTCATTTTAAAAGCCTCATTAGACGGAGCGCGCGAGCGGTTGTTATTTTCATTTCATTTTCGTATTTGATTGTGCAGTTTTTTATTACATTTTAAGTTACGACTTTAAGAGTGTTAAAGATTTATTTCTGGAAATTTTGATGATATTAATCGGGTGGTTTTGTTGTTGTGACGGCGGAGATCTACTGCGGAGTGGTGAGCGAAGGTGAAGAATCAACACCGTGCGAGCTGAGTTCGCGTGCAGCCGGGAGATGTAGAATGGAGTTTAGACGAATTAAATTCGTGGACGTGGCTCCATCGGAGGCTGAGAACGGCCGGAAACGCCAGAAGCTCCAAGTTTACGCAGACTCATTTGCTCTAGACTGTAAAAGAGAAGAAGATAATTCTGTCTCCGTTGAAGAGGGGAACAAACTAACGGTAAAACTTAAAAATGGTAGATCGAAAAAGAAAGGAACCATAGTGAAAAACCATTCGAGTCCATCGCTTTTGATTCCTGTAATCGATTCAGAGTTGTATCCTAAATTCGGCATCTCTTCGGTTTGTGGAAGGCGAAGAGACATGGAAGACGCCGTCGCTATTTACCCGTCCTTTCACCGCCAAGGCCATGACTCTGCCGCCATTGGCTTCCATTATTTTGGCGTCTACGATGGCCACGGTTGCTCTCACGTACGAATCTTAAAATTTTAAAATAAAAATAAAGATCAGCTATTCCTTATCTTATCTGAAGAAATTGAAAATTTTTTGGCGGTTTTGGTTGTTACTGTTTGTTAGGTGGCGATGAGGTGCAGGGAGCGGTTACATGAGCTGGTGAAAGAAGAATTGGAGAGTGAGGAAGAAGCATGGAAAGGTGCGATGGAGCGTAGCTTCACGCGCATGGATAAGGAAGTGATCAAGTGGAACGAGAGCGTGGTTGGAGCTAATTGCCGATGCGAGTTACAGACTCCCGAGTGCGATGCCGTTGGATCTACCGCCGTTGTCGCTGTCATAACGCCTGATAAAATTGTTGTTGCTAACTGTGGTGATTCGAGAGCTGTTTTGTGTCGTAATGGCAAGCCCGTTCCTTTATCGTCTGATCACAAGGTTAGCACTTCGTTGTTAGTTCTCTCTTATTTAAGGAAAAAAATTACGATTGTTTGTAGCCTGTTTGGCTCCTGAGAAAATGCTGCCAACAAAAGAGAAAATGTTCGTTTTATCTTTTACCATATTTCTTAATCATGTGATTTGTTTTTGGCCAATTAATCATTTGATTAATCGGTTTGGTGCATTTCTTCATGCATATCATGTGGAAACGATGAGATCATCTGAATCCAACGGCTGAGACTTGTTTTGGCGGCTTTAATAACGATGTTTTGAAAATAAATTTTTGAATATCTTTTATTAATACCATGATAAAAAAAAATTAAGCTCCTCGTGTGTTTTTTTTTTTTTTTTAAATTTTTGAAACATGTTAACAGCCGGATCGTCCGGATGAGCTGAACCGGATCCAAGAAGCGGGTGGTCGGGTCATTTACTGGGACGGACCTCGGGTCCTCGGAGTCCTCGCAATGTCCAGAGCGATAGGTAAAATTCGAAACACTGAACTAAACTTAACACTCTCTTTCTCAAACGGAGCATGATAGCACCATCTCCTTATCCTACGTCGCTTACTTGAAAACATTTGTCTACGCCACAGGTGATAACTACTTGAAACCTTATGTGAGCTGTGAGCCGGAGGTTACAATTTCGGATCGGACTGCAGACGACGAATGTTTGATTTTGGCGAGTGACGGTTTATGGGACGTGGTGTCAAATGATACCGCGTGCGTGGTGGCGCGCACGTGTTTGAGGGGAAAGGGTGATATACAGGCGCCGACACGTACGCCGCCGAAAGGAATGGTAGCAGAGGCGGTCGTAGGGTCCACGACGGGACGGGGCGTAGGAGAGATCTCGGACACGGCGTGCACTGACGCGTCCGTGTTGCTGACAAAGCTGGCGTTGGCCAGGCATAGTACGGACAATGTTAGTGTAGTGGTGGTGGATTTAAGGAGAGCCGCGTAGGCTTTTAAGTTTCAATCTTGTTCTCTCTCTATTCTCTTCTTATTGGTTTTTTAACAAGGCTAGCTAGTTTATGGGGGGCGTGAAAACTGAAAAAAAAATTGGGTTTTTTCGATATTTTATTTTTAGCCCTTTTTTGAAGGAGAACACAGAGAGGGATGAAAGTAGTGGGGGTGAAAAATGGGGAAATTTGAATACAAAAATATACAGTCAAAATGAACATTGGACCAGCTTTTGTTGGTTGGTTCGTTTTCAAGAAATGAAAATCTTTTAGCCGAAACTTAATGAAAAGAGTTTAAGAATAGGACAGCAACTTCGTTCATGCATGGTATGGAACAGAAGGGCGGCAAAATTGTCCAAAGAAATCTTTCCAATGATTCCACATTAGCACATGCTATAAGGCATGAACCATCAATTAAACACGAAAATGGTGGACTGCTGCCCCAAGATGCAAAGGACATAATGAGACCTATTCCAACATCCCTTTTTATCAGGATCCAAACTAATTTCCTCCGTTATGTTTGCTTGGCGTCATCTTCCACTCCTTTGTGCTTTAAGTGCTTTCAATTTCCTGTAGCCCTTATCAGTTCCAAATATCCTGAGAGAATTTACACGGTGGTCACCCGTAGTCAGTATGACGGGAAAGAATATCCATATAAATTCATCTGCTTCTCAAAATGTCACATATTTAGTGGCAACCACTATAACCTACAACCTGACCATGGAAAACATGCTAATCTTCAAAAAATAAATGTCAAAAACTCACCAGTCCATGTAAACAAACGTAGATGAGTAGTTGCCAGATTTGGTATAAAGCAATCGATGATGATAGTCATGAAAATCAGAACTGGAGCAGTGAAAATATGAACAATTACTTCACCGCTGATGGACGTAAGATAAATATAGAACTACATAGACTCATGAAGCAAAGCAATAAGTGAATTCGGAACTTACCCCCCATATAAAGGTAGAAAGTTTGAGAGGCTCCATGGAAAATGGTAACCACAATGTGCCTCAACTGTCTCCAGGACTCTAAGAACCATCCACAACCAGAGAGTAATCAGATGTGGGCCCGTGACGGCAGGACCAACAATTGTAGCAAAGCCAAGGAACAATATCTCAGTAGGGTGAGCATACTCAGATGTCAGTCCAAATGGTGTAGCATATCTGTATAATATATATGATTAACAGATAAGCACATGCAAAAGAACCTAGCAAGAACAGCATTGTTCATAGTTTTAACTAGTAAAAGCACCTAATATTAAGACTTACTCATGATGGACATTGTGCACATGCTTGTACAGCCATTTTGTATGTAAAATACGATGTCCCCAGTAAAACACAAAATCCTCCAGGATGAAGTAGAATATTATTTGTGATAGAACCACTTTCCTGCAGAACCAAAAAAAAGATATACCTAATTAGAGCTCCAAAATAAAGAATTTAATTGCATGCAGGTAAATCTATGGAGGATATATTCCAGATTAAGTAATATAATACAAGGCTATTATGTCAGAATGGGGTAAAAATGGAGGAAAACAAGCTCTAGCATATAAAGGACCTGAAAATACCAGGATGGCAATGGTAGACTACTTTTCATGCCCATGAATCTGAAGACAGGATAAGAGACAATCATAAGCGGTAGGTTGACACTAATATGATACAGAAGTAGGTGGGTGATACATTTTTCCTGTGCAGCAGGGCTGTTGTTTTTTGTCTGCATAGAAACATAAATTACAAATGAAACTAATTTACTATGAATTCTGCTAGACAAGGGCACAGAAAGGATATTTTTTCCATCACTAACACCCCTCCCTCCCTCTCTCCCTCCCTCCTGCCAAATTTTATGTTAACAAAGTAATAACAGTTGATAACAATAACGGAAAAAAAGATGGAGTCAACCTGAATCTTGTATTTGCTCAGCAATCCAGCTCTTTCCAGATATATAAATGGAAGTCCGGATAAGAAAAAAACACTTTCATGAAGAAAGAAACTTCCCAGACTTGCTAGTTGGAAGTCACTGAAATGTGTGATCAGACACTGCATGGTGGACAAAGAAGGATTTCAGGGTGAATATCTTATATCTCATGATAAAACTATGCATCCAGAGGTGAAATCAATAAATAAAATTAGATAAATTTTCCTTCACTTTGAAAAAGGGAAAAGGGTTGAAAAAACAATTCAAAGATTCGTTGAAGATCCTTTGCCAGAGACCAATAAAATATAGGATCAAAATGATCACTTGCAAGCAACACATACTCAACATTGGCAAACAAGGTGCTCTAGTCTGGATTCCATTTTCAGGTATTTGTTAATGTAAACCAATTCTCTTGATGAGCTAACGAAGTAGCCCAATCTAACAAAAACCTATAGTGAAGCAGTAACGTGGATTCGAAACCCAAACCAATCTCTATTCTGCCGCTACCATCATCCCATTTATGAAACCACAACAGTCATTTGCAAGACTTAGAAACAAAATCTGTTAAAATATTCAAACTATGCAGGCAAAATGCATTTCAGTTTTTAACAAAGAGCATTATTCAATCAAATCATGCTTTGTAAAAATCAAATATCAACATCCAGTCATCCATCATCTACAATCTAAATTTACCTTGAATGTCACCATCAGAAGAAAAACAGCTAAAAAACTAAAACTTTCAAATAAAATAACCATCACCCAACCAACCCAAACTTGAAACAGATCCAAAACAAGCAATGGGCAGTTCCTAAAAAACTCAAAAAGGAACAAGAAATAACAAAAAGAAAGGAACTTTACCAGCCAGCCAGATTCAATAATGGAAGCCATGAGAGCTTGGAAATGAAAAGAAATTATTGATCTACACAACGGTTTTTTAATGAAAACAAAATCTTTTGAGCGGTTGGGGGAGAGAGTGAAGTGAAGAGATGGAGAGTGAGTATTTAGAGAAGCAAAGGCCACGAGATGAGTATACACTGTCGAAAGGAATCTGGGCTTCATCAATGGGCCCCTTTTTCATACCAATTCATCAGCAGTAAAAACTAACTAAATATAGAGGGAAAAAAACTAAAAAAAATGAGAGCTTTGCAAAAAACACCAACTGGCGGAGAGGAGAAATTTTCAACTTTTAATTGCCATTGAAAAAAACACATTTTTTTTTAGTTTTCACCAATTAGCTGAGCCACAACAATTAGGCCAAAAAAGTAAATACTACTACAATATAGGCTTTTTTCAAGTTGGGGTTTTGGAATTTCAAAATGGGTAAAATATCTTCAATAAATTTTAATATATCTTGCCTAAGTCTAATTGATTGCATTTACTCATGACTAATCCCAAAAAAAAAACTCTTTCATGGGCAAATTGAGCATCTGAGCAATGAACTTCATGAATATTGAAGATTAAAAGTTTTTGAGAAAAAATCTTTCAAGCAACATACAATTTCCAGCGAAAATAATTTAACAATGGGACTCCTACCATCATGTAAATGATTAATTTAGAAATAAAATTAATTTTTATAAAAAAATAAATCAATTGAACATGAATAAGACACAACTGTCAAATATATAAAATATTAAAATTTATAAGAAAATATATATTTACATAACAATATAGATGGAAATAAAATAAATTATACTTACAAATATAAAGTTGAAACTTTGAACTTGATTTATTGATTTAAAATACAACTTTCTTTCTATCAAGAATGTTGTAGAGTACTAACCTTTGTATATTGTTGTGTATAACATCAACCCGAACATTGATATCTATAGGCAAACCGAAAGTACACTTTTCATTAAAGAAATGATAGTGACTCACACTATCATCATGTAACGCGTTGTTGGTCCATCTAATAGTATAAACAAATGATAGTGCTTAATACTATCATTGTGTTATTACACCTTTCATTAGGTAATACTAATATCTCAGGCAACATGTGGTGCAGAGGAATATGATCTCATGAAATTTGAGTTATTTTGTGCTTGGTCTTCTCTTTTATCTTTGACAGGTTTCACTACCAGACATTGAGAGGGTCTAGAGAGTCACTCAAGTATCAGTTTCTTAGACCCTGTACGAAGTTCAACTTCCAAACTGACGATTGAATCAAGAAAATGCAGATTCCAACCAATGGCACGGCAGAATCAAACAAACAAAGGTATGTTTTGATCTTGGAATGTGAAAATGAAACATCAACCACCTTAAACCCTTCACTAAGATGACATTAAGAAATCGATAATTCATATTTGGTAACGTTTGGTGAATTATTTTAAACATGGAAAGTTTGTAATGAGCTCTCAATTTAGGCAGTAAGAGGTGGACTTTCTACCAAAATATACTCCTATTTCGTCTATTTATTAACCATTTGAGGTAATTTCCCCGAGCTGAAGATATCTCTCTCCCTTTTCCATTATCTCTTTTTCTCATGGAGGGTCTCATTCCTTTCATATACAGGGTCATCATTCAGTATAGAAATGGTGAGCAGCCAACCACAGAAGGATCCTTGTTCAATGAACCACATCCTGGACCGTACGCAAGACTTCCTGGTGATTCAGGACGTTTCAAAGTGCCACCAGAAAATGGCTATTCCTTCTCCATGAATAGTCCTTCCACCAGCTCTCACCTCATTGTCTCCAAAGGTATCAGATCCCCACTTCACCTTTCTGCTCCTCGCCCATATTTTTGTGATGAGAACAATGTCACCAGTGCTTTAATGACTAGACAGAACACAAGACTTCACCAATGTATTTCTGGCCAAAGAAACTGCATCAAAAACTAGCCCTGTATTCTGTTGTTACAAGTAGTTCTATGAATAAGAGCAAGCCGCCAAAAGGAGCTTGCGCTTTTGTGCAATTGATGCAATAGCTGACAAAAAAGTACAAGAATTTTAATGAAAATTTTAAAATGAAATTTAAGTATTTTATGTTCATACATAAAAGTAAAATTAATATATTGCTATTAACATTATATTAATTAATTTCAAATATCATAATTGTTTATTGTTAAAACGTTAATTAAAGTTATATAAACTGGTTGATTGATTACATTTATAAACTACTAAGTTAGTCTTCATGTTAAGACATCTTCAGTTAATGTCAAAATGATCTACTAGTATATCTTTCTCTCCCTTTTCTATACCTTTCTCATGGAGGGTCTCATTCCTTATACAGGGTCATCAACCAGTCTAGAACTGGTGAGCGGCCAACCACCGAAGCATCTGCACCTTATGCAAAAATTCTTGGTGATTCAGGACGTTTCAAACTGACACCAGAAAACGGCTCTTCCTTCTCCATGAATTGTCCTTCCACCAGCTCTCACCTCAACTGTCCCTAAAGGTATCAGATCCCCCCACCACACCTTTCTGCTCCTCTCCATATTTTTGGGATGAAGAATGATGCCACCAGAGCATTTCAGACTGAAGAAACTCCATCAAACTAGCCCTGTTTTATGTTCTTACTAGTAGTTTTTATGACTTACAGCAAGCCACCAAAGGGGTTTGCACTTTTGTGCAGTTGATGCAATAGCTGACAAAGAGTAAATCACTTTATTGAAAATAACATCGACTTCCTGGAAAAATTGATTCCCAGAAAAGCTATAATGAGCTTTCACTAAACTAGATAGATCGCAATCTATGGTCCAAGATTAACTTGAAGAGAAATATGAACAGGTGAAAAGAATAACAACTGCATTATCAAATCAAAGCCAATAGTAAATGCTAACCACATCATATTAGATAAGAAAAAGAAGAATACACAGCAAGTCAGATACAATTAGAAGTTAGCTAACTAGAACACAAAATCTTAAACAGGCATGGATATATCTAAGGAAATCTAAACATTGAAAGGATCAAGAACCGGCCAAAATTTTTATTTAGTAATAAAACCTAAATTAAAAACACAATCTAGTTTGTCCTAGGTGTAGCCCATTCAACTCTCAAGATGAGATTGTCATAACCATAGCCATTCAGTTTGTTTATAGCCCTCTGGGCATCTTCCTTGTTCACAAAGTTAACAAAACCAAAACCTCTACTCATGCCTGTCTTCTGATCAACAGCAACATAAACTCGACTTACTGCACCAAATGGCCGGAAAAGCTCAAGCAAGTCAGGTTCCCGAGTATCCTCAGAGAGGTTAGTGACTCGGACCGAGTTCTCATCATTTCTGCGTCTCATATCAGTTCCACTTCTCTCCGCTCCTGCTCTCATACCTGGAGGAACATATGTACTCTTGCCTGAGCCAGTAGCAGCAGTTGCAGTTTCAGATACTGCAGGCTTATCGAGGAATCCCTCAGCCTGTGGAGCAAGATCCTTGTATGGGCACCTTGATGTCCAGTGATCACCCTTCTTACCACATGTCCTACACACCATAAGAACTGCACCGCCTTTCCCTAGTTGAGCCAAGGAATCTCCAGAAACCTTTGTTTCTTCTACTTTGCTACCTGTAGGCAGCTCCAAAATTGATCTTAGTAAGAACAATTGCCGTAATAAAACTAAACAAGGCATTTTACCCCCAACTAATTTGTTCAAATGATTCTAAGCTATGAACAAGCCAATTTTTTTTACAAAAAATTTCATAAATTAAGCTCAATTTTGATTCACCAATTCACAAACACCCAAGTTATCATAGCCAAAAATAGAAAAGACTCAAACTTTAATCTTTTCAACTACCCAAAATTCCATACAATTCAGTAATTCAAATAAAAAAATTAGGCAAAATGTTTTTTTACATAAACTGAAATAAAATACAATTTATAAACACCAAAATTAACAAAGAAAATATTCGTAAATTTAAAAGAGAAAAACATATATTTAAACAAAAACACAAAATTTCATCTTTTCAACCACATATGATCCCATAAATTTAGTAAAAAAAATCCAAATTTTTCCCCAAAAAATTAAGAGAAAACCCAGAAAAAGAAACAAACCAGGGGCTCTAGGTCGTTCAAGAAGGATCTCTTCAGTGGAAACCATAGTGAGTCGGCTACCAACATCTTCCCTCACAGCATCCCCAAACTTGGGCCAAGACCTTCGCTCCACCGCTCGTTTACTGAGTCGAGCATTGGCGAGCTTTCGGACCCGGGTAGTCGTCGTAATTTTAACCTTGTTTCCCTCATCGTTGAACTTGTACTCTATCACTTTCTTGATCCCGTTCTCGTCGGGTCCGATTACTTGCTTTGGTGGTAACAAGAAATCTAAATCCCCCGTGTCGTCTTCGTCTAATTCCCCCCATCGTAGCTTCGTTTGCTGAGTCGGATTCTGGGTCGCTCCGGTGGCCATCGTACTCGAATTACCAAAAATAAAAAATAATAATTTAGGGTTTACACTATGCGGGAAAGAGGAACATAAATAGGGAAAAAAAAAGTTCAGGCGGTGATTGAGACGGCGTCGTTTAAATGAAGAGTATTTTGAGAACGACGTAGTGTAGTGTTTTTTTTTGACATACTTACCATAGTCCATATATTATTATAATTTCTTTTTTTCAGCGATTGCTAAAAAGAGTAATAATAAAGGCTTAAAAAAAATTAAAAAAATTCTTTGTATTTTGTTGAAAATTAATTATAGAAAAAATAACATGATATAAAGTTTATATTTTTCATGAATAATTGAAACGAGACTTAATTTAATTTATTGGTATATTAATTTTTAAAAAATAATAGTAAATAAATTTAAAATTAAATCTCAATTTTTGCATTCTTTTTCATTATCTTTAAATTAAAACTTTTTTATATTAAAAAATTACAAATCAATATTAACATTTTATATTAGGATAATTTATTATAAAAAGGCCTAAATTTAAGTGTTAAATTTTAGTACCTCTGCGCTTTTCTCAATAATAATTTAATAATATTACAATTAACATTTCAGTAAAAAAATTAATTTGAATCCCCTTTTTTCCAAAATATAAAATTTAAATTTTAAAAAATTTTTTTGAGTTGAAAAATTTTAAAAGCATTTCATCATTACATGTACAAAGTCTTGTATTCAACATTCTTTATTTGATGCCATTGCATTAGTTCTCATTTAAAAAGTAATATTTTTCCAAAAATTATTGCTTTATTCAATGTAATTAAATTATATCAAAACTATGATAATTTAAAACACGATAAAAATGATATCTTCGCACGCATACACTCTTGTTAATTGTCACTCTCAAAACCCAATAGGTTCAACCACTAGAATACTTGCCAATAACTTTGGCCCATGATATGGGGCAATGGGGCAAAGCAAATGACACCAGAACCAGACTGAACAAGTTGGAGGTGCCATTGCCAACCACAGAAGCCAACCTGCAACACCTTCCTTATCAAGCAAAAGGTTCCTTTCCCCACTAACTTATTCGACTATATAATATAATTTATTTTTTTCTTTCGTTAGTTACATCAAATAATCATTCGAGATAATGTTTAATAAATATAAAATTTAAATTTCAAAATCTGCAACTTTTTACCTATCCAAAGAAGAAAATATTTTAGAAAAAGCTCAAACGGTTGTGAATCTTATTTTTAAACAAGAAATAATACACACAAAAGGCAAATAAAAACCAGTAATGCAAACACAGGTGTCGACTAGTCTGCAAAGCTTCACCAAGCTGTAGACAGATTCCACCAAAAACACCAAAAATATAAAGATGAAAATCCATCAACAAAGTAAACAAAAAACAGCTCTCCATCCCACTTGCATACAAGATAAAAATCAGTATGAGAAGATGGCCAAAAGCCAAAAACAATATACCAGCTGCTTTCAATAGTATCAGCCACCACCATCCCCTCCACCGCCGCCACCTCCATGAGAACTACCACAACCACTTCCTTCCATGGCAGAGGCATGTGCTACTGTAGCACCCACCGCTACAGCAGCAGCCATTCCAGCATCAGCACTGGCCGTTGTAGCAGTAGTAGCAGTAGTAGCAGCACCCTGATTGCTCCCTTGATCAGCGTCATCTACATGATCTCCTTTCTTTTTCCCACTCCGATGAGACTTTTTATGGAATTTTTCTTTGTTAGAAGAACTATCTGAATCTTCTTTCTTGGCTTCTTTCTTTGATCCTGGGATGCAAAAACAAAAGCTTCTGCAGCTCATGGCTGCAAAAACAAACCCTCAAATCAAACTATTGACTTGAGTATACCTGAGCAAGGAAAATATAAGAACTGGCAACACACCCAATCATTATTTATTTAGCTTTGATTCCTTAGCTAACAAGTATTTTCAAGATACAAACACCGTACAAACGAATCGAGTGTTTATCACCACTTTTTCTTTTTCTTTTTCTTTACTTATTATTGGGTCATATGCCTTTTCATGAGTATAAAGCCACAGATAAATATCTAAAATAGGATTTTATACGAGGTTGATTGAAAAATCAGAAAAGCAAAGCTGTAAAGCTTGGGATATTGGGTGTCATATCTATGAATAATAACCAAGGTAGAGATTCCTTTTAATCCTATGGTAGAAAATTAACCCATAATTCATCCGTTTTAAACTGATATAAGAAGCATTTTAGACTATAGAGAAGGCTTATATCACGGAAAATTAACTATTGCTGATTGATAGAATGCAAAATCCATGAATGGAAAATGAAGTTACATCAATAATTTATAGACAGGCTGTTGGCAAATCATCATAGCCCATCATTCTTTTTCTACCTTAAATATGGAGAGAGGTCAGTCTTGCCACTTGAGCTCAGGACAAGAGGAATTTAGCTTTTTACTTAAACAAAATTGAAGTGGTTTTTTCACATGGAGTATAGCATGTGTTTTAAATTACCTCTTCATCTGTTACATCTGAAGGATTGACATTGAAAGAAATTAAAAGATGTCTGGATATGGGTTCAGACCGGGGGCCTCCAGTGTGTGAGACTACCGTGATAACCAACTACACCACCCAGACAACAATTCCTTGTTCTTTGAGATTCACAAGAAATTTATTATGAAAATTTACTCAGTTTTTTTGGATGCCCTCCAATTTCTTTTGAAGAACCGTTAAAGATTTCCTTTCATTCTTCACATAGCAATAATTCTCTGCTTTCAAGGAAAACAAATAAAAATAAAGCAGAAAGATTATCACAAAAGACCACCTACTATTTCTAACGTTAACCTCAATTAAAAAAAAAAAAAATTATCCAAAGCACTCTTTTATCTGCTTCATTTGCTGCAATATACTCATCTTTTGTGCTTAATAAAACAACACACGTCTGCAGTTTAAACGACCAAAATACAGCTCTCTCGCAAAAGTGAATAAATATATTAAAGTAAAATTTTTACTATTAGAATCACCTGTCATATCTGCATCACTTAACCCTTCTAAAATTGATCATGTAATTCGATAACTCAACCACATCTATGAAATAGTCAAATATCTGAAGATACATTTTCATTGCAGTGAATGCAATGAAATGAAATATAAAATGAAAGCAGTGACTTCACTGTGCAATGAATGCAATGAGCAATTTTGTGTGGTGTGATTTGCTTATGAATTCTGCGGCACCAGTTCTTGCGCAGAGTTTAGTTTCTGCAGGCATTTTTACTTATTTGAAATGATTGCTAAAGTGAAAATCGAGTAGTTTGTGTACCATTGTAATCGAGAGTTGAACTTTGAGGCCTTTGGAATCAATTCTACCAGAATTGGTGATCAAGAACAGCTATTCTTTATTTCACAACAAAGTCGATAAATAAAATTTGTCTTTTGCAGAAAGTTTGGACAACTAGGAAAGCCCTGGTCATGACTTGTGAGTTGAAGCAAAAAAGGAAAATTTAATGCCAATGTAAAGCAAATATGTTATCCGAATTCATAGTATAAAATTATGGGAAAAAGACATAACAATGAAAAACCAATTAAACTTGGTTTCTGTACATCTGTGAATATCTCTATGGTCTTATGATAAAAGATTATTTCCCCCAAAGTCCTATTTTCCAAAACTTAAAATGACAAGAAAGGGGGGGGGGGGGGTTCATATTACTACCAATAATCCCCACAAGAACAAACTCCATTCTGGAAATGGTGAATGCGATTCACATCACGAACCAGAATCTCTTTGTTTGCAAACTTGGAAATGAACTTTGTAAATGAATGGCAGTCTTCACATAACCGCAAATTCTTTGTTATCCGAATGGTCTCCCCTTTATTAGCATTGATAAGTCCAAATGCTAATGCACGTTTTTCACTGTGACCCAATAGAATCTGTTCCTTCTCTCCTTCATCGAGATCATAGAGCACAACTTTAGTTTGCGGCATATATCCCTTCTCCTTCATCTCAGCAGACAGTTTAATCAAGAAAGATTGGATCTGTTCGACCTGAGGGTTGAGCTCTTCAACAGAAACAAATGAATAGATTTTCCTTTTGAGTTCGATCCAACTTCTGCCCGGAATTTTTTGCAGCGAGCGAGTTTCTAGCAGCTTCCTCACTCTCTTTACCTCATCCCACATCTTAGCTTCTGCATAAATATCAGCCAGAAGTACATAATTCCCAGCATTTGTGGGTTCAAGTTGGAATAGCCTACTGCTAGCTCTCTCTGCTAACTCTACGTTACAATGAATCCTACATGAGCCAAGAAGTGAACCCCAAACCTTAGCTCCAGGTTCAATCCGCATTTCATCTATAATCTTAGCAGCCTCTTCTAACCTATTGGCACGACCAAGAAGATCAACCATACAAGCATAGTGCTCAACACTAGGATATATTCCATGTTCTTTACGCATTGACTCAAACAACCTTTTCCCCTCTTCAACGAGACCTGCATGGCTGCAAGCTCCTAAAACACTGACAAAAGTTACAGGACTTGGCGAAACACCTTGATCAATCATCTCTTGGAAAATTTGCATTGCTTTCTTCCCAAATCCATGAACACCATAACTCGAAATCAACGAATTCCATGACACAACATCTCTTTTCTCCATCCGATAAAAAATCCGTTGCCCCAATTCAAGTTTACCACATCGCGAATACATTGTAATAAGAGTATTTATAACTGGCAAAACTGAATCAAGCCCTCTCCTAAGAATATAAGCATGAATCAACTTCCCTTGCTCCAAAGCAGCCAGAGCTGCACAAGCTTGAAGAACACTAACCATAGTAACCGAATTTGGAAAGGAATCATGAGTCTCAACCATCATGTCCCTAAAAAGCTCCAATGCCTCAAACGCCTTCCCATTTTTGGCATAACACGCAATCATTGCACTCCAAGAAACCACATTCCTGACAGGCATCTTCCCAAAAACAAAACTCGCATGTGAAACGCAACCAAACATGGCATACATATTCACCAAAGTAGTCATAATATAAACATGTGCTTCGAACCCATGTCTTAAAATATGAGCATGAATCTCTTTTCCTTTCTTTAAAAGCGAAACTAAACACTCAGAAGCAACACAAGCTTTAAGCACGTAAGTATAAGTAAATCTATCCGACGGGATTCCAGTTCTATTCATTTTTCTATATAAACCAAAAACTTCTTCTCCAGAACTAGCCAAAGTAAGCGCTCGAAAAAGCGCATTCCAGACGAAAATCGTTCTCTTACGCGTTTTATCGAACACCTTGCGAGCATCGTCAAGGGAATCCAAAGCAGCATACATAGAAATTAGTTTGGTAGCCAAGAAAGGATCTTGGTCAAACCCATTTTCGGATATATGGGAATGAAGGGATTGGGCAAGGGAGAGGGAGTTTTGGTGGGCGCAAGAAAGTATAAGGAGTTCGTAGGTTCTTTGAGAAGGGTCGGGTTCTTGGGAAAGGAGCTTGAAGGCTTGTTTAAAGTTGCCTTGTTTGCATAAGGATTGGATTAGTTGATTGTTGTTGTGCGTTGAGGTGGAGATCGAGGGGTTTAAGGTAAGAGAAGAGGAAGGGAGCTTAGGAGGAGTACGAGGCGGGTTGAACAGTGACGGTGGTTGCGTTGGCGGGGGAGTGTTAAACGCCCACATCGGTCACAAACGAAAGCACACTTCACTTCTATTTGTCTTTTGGGAACTGATCTCAGATTGATGTCTGGTTGTTGAACTTCCATGTTCTCCTTTTAAAGTCAGATTTTTTGTCTCACGTGCATAGCACGTGCCAATTTTGTACAAAAATTTTCTCGAATTAGTTCTTTTTTTAATTAAAAAGATTCAAATCTCTACAATTTTAAATATATATCTAAAAAATATTCCTAAATTATTATAACACAAATGTACCAAACCCGATATGTAGTTCGACAGCAAAATTCATGTCCATGGAAATATATACAAGAGAACCATACAACAGTTACAAGGTAGTGGGAAACAAAATTTCCATGAAACAGAACATATCCCACATCTGACTAAGCTGTTGTGGGATCATTGATCACACCTAAGAAATCGTCCTTTATGGTACCAATACATAACTGCAAGGAAAATATCATTAATATTAGGTGAGACGGATGAAATGAAAAGTTTTAAACCTTAACAAGTAAAAAGAACACAGAGTAGCCTGATTTTCTAATATTGACTTGAATTTTGATAATCTTTCATCTCATAACCACAGCTCAACCATATACAGATGTGAATTTTCACAATGCATAACACGGGTTTTAAATCATACGGTTCTAAAAGCGCGTAATAAGAGGCTTACAAAGTAAAGAATAAAGATCAATAATAAGATTGCGATAATTGCATCACTAAGAAACTTGATTGCCAATGCAATCTAGTGAAAGGGAGAGCCTGTTTAATGGTCCATGAACCGGAAACATAACTCCCCCTAGCACCAACTATCCTCTAGGCAACTTATTATTTGACTGCTCACCAGTTCCAATAATCAGTTACTGGTTGCATTAAGGAATGCTTGAAATTCCTAGTGAAAACAGCTCTTCATCAGCTTGGTATCTAAATCTCAAAGTGAATCAAACCCTTAAGCTGACAAGATTGTGATTCATTATTCTATTATGATATTCTATTCAAATAGGAAGAAGTGACACAAATAATTATAAAACTATGAGTGAGATAGTAATTGGGAGGAAGAAAGGGTCAAGTTTATACTATTTCAGTAGTATCAACTCGAGTTCCAATTATCTTCAACCGTACTTTGCTATCCTTATGAATCTTAACCAGTAAAAACATAAATGATAAAGTCAAAAACAAAACTTCTACAACAGAAAATTAACAATTACTTGCCTTAAAATGAACTGGAGTATACCGATCCATCAGAGGTAGTATAATTTGGCATATCTCCAGAATGAAACTCCATATCATCTGGAATCAACTGGAAAACACAAAATTTCTATTACACACTAGCAAGAGATATAATAAAAAAGGGAATTTATGAGCCAATCCAGTAATTCAAAATGATAGAATATGGCAAAGATACTATTTTTGACAAAGAAACTTCACCACAATTAGCAAGTCAAATATGCAAATATGTAATCAAGTATAAATACCACCAATATACAAAAGTTTCCAAAATTTGATTGAAGTCATTCGTGAAACATATCCAAGCAGGCATGCTTACAGTAAAGCAGCCACTTCTTCCTCTCTCACCCATTAATTGTCACCCAGATTGCTAACGTGGAAGACAAAGAATCTCAAAAAAGAAAACTCAAGTTCTCCCCTATGTGTCATCAAAATAGAAAATCTCTCCCTGACAAAGAAAATAGATCAGTAAAGCCAATCAAATAGGATAACTTCAATTCTTCTTGTTCAAATACAGAAAATGCTAGATTAAATCATTTAAATACTTTACATTTCTTATAATCTCTACTTTATCTTAAGATGCAAAAATATAATTTATCAAATAATTATGCCGACCACATAACTTCCAGAGAGAAAGGAAAATTTGAACTTTGGAAACATCGTATACAAGAAAATACAATCAAAGCCAAGCTACATGTAGGACAGAATTCTAAAAGGGATTACGTTAAACAATTCCATGATAAACAGCGATGGATCTTGACATTTGGCTTTGGGAGGGCTAACTAAAACTATATTTATTTATTCATTTAAGGTATCTCATTATATTTATATTAAAACAATATACTCCTAAAAAATAACAAGCTCATATAATTATAAGTTTTATCAATTTATAAACATTAGTATAAAGAAACAAAATACATCAAATAAATAAATAAGAGGCTTTCAAAATTTGTGGCCCCTAGGCTCTAACTAGGGTCCACCTCCATAAAAGACATGTAATTCCCTAACAAATGACATAATGTAAAGGAAAAAAGACTTACATGATTAGAAACAAAAATTTAAACAGGCCCAGCTTCCGTAAAGAATCCCATCTGTATGGAAACCACAAATCTAGTTACAAGCATAAAAACTGGCAGAAATCTAATAATCCAATTAACAAAAAAAAATAAGACTGGGTGAAAAAAAGAAAAAGGAGTGCATGCCTCGTTGTAACAAAAGCTTCCAAGATCTCCCCCTTAAGTGGTCTAAACACAACACATTGATACTTCACAGGGAATGTCACAAACCCTGTCCTATCTCGAATCAAAACTTTCCCAATTACCAGTTATCGCCACCACAAAACCATGTCTACCAGTGCAAAGTTACCGATTTACACGATTCAGCCATGTTTGCCCCTAGATTATTTTAGATCCTTTAAACCAATCAACTAATCAAAACCCATTCACCCACTACTACGACTAAGCTTTTAGGAAAGTTAAAGGGAGCCATAGCCCATAGAAGTTAGAACCCCAATCAACTGATGTATAAAACTACAGCTTAAAAAAGCTACCCATTTTAATCTTACATTTTCTGCCTCTTTAAGCTAGAGAATCACCTCAAAAAAATCAAACAAACTTGAATTGAATTAAAAAAAAAACAGAACCCAAGACAAGCAAGAACATGACTTTTGGTCACAACCCTGTTGAAATTGTGAATGAAACGAAAGAAAAGAAGAACCTGCAAGTGCCCTCAACATCTTCCATGAGCTTGGATACGAGGTTTTCCCGTAGATTACGACCGAAGTGGCGCGGATGCAACTGCATATTCCTCTCCAATACTATGTCAAAAAACATGTCTTTTTTCTCCTTTGGTCTATCCAATGAGATTGAGAACAGAGTTTTCTCTGTCTAAAAGGTCAAGAGGTTGAAGCTGCGAAATGGGATTTGGTTCGTTTCTTTCTTTTCCTTCTTGGGCCTCCAGATGGCTTTGATTTTCTGGATTCATTTTTTTGTTTCATGGGCTTGAGCTAGTTGACCTTTTGCTGGGTTTCCGAATGCCACCATGTTTTGGGCTTTTGGCCTGAAATTTATTCAACTTCTTGTTTTTATAGTTCCACAGGCTCTTCATCTGTAGGATGAAACCTGTAGCCAATGGGCATCCTGATCCCTCCATTTACAACAAAGTTTTGACTTTCCATGCTTAAAAATTATCAGAAACCTCCTCAACCAACTAGCTCAAGTCTTTTATCTTTTACTTCTCTGATCTCTCAAGTCTCAACCAACCAAACTTGATCTAGCTTAGCCGATTGGAATCAAGCAAATCTTCAATGTACATGATGAAGAAGAAACCTTGCAATTCACCCAAAGTGAAGTGCGTCCTTTTTGTGTCCTAACCCTTCAAGTTGATGAGGTAAAGATTTTTTGTTACATTTTTGTTTTGGTTACCTGTTTGTGTCAAAACCCTTCAACTTGATCATACATATGGATATGGTTGTTCCTTGTTACCGTAGTGTAATTGCAAGATTTTGGCTTAAAATCAAAGGTTATGCCGACTACAAAGCTTAGAAGTGTGTTTTTATTCCCCAACTACTAGATTTGTTTGATAATTTTGTTGGTTAGATTTTTGGTTCGGAATGTTATCATTCATCTTTTGACTTTTCCATCTTTTACAGCTCCTATTCCCACTCAATCCAGCATTTCTCATATTAATTCTTTGGATAGTAGAATTAGTGGCTAACTAGAAACTAACTTGAAACTTCATATAACATGTCAATTATAATATATATATATATATATATATATATATATATATACACACACACCATGAATGTCACACCTATGAAAAGGTTTTATTCTTTTACTTATGTTCAAAACATGTAAAAATATGTGAATGTAAATATTAATTTCTCATATCAACCACAAACAAGAATATCGTATGTAATGGGAGTGGTTTTACTAGAGCACGTATATTATTATTCATAGCATGGTAAAGGGTTTTAGTTACAATTTACAAGTAGCAACATGATTACATTCATTCATTACATGTGTGTGTATGTGTGTGTATATATATATATATAGTCCCAACTCCCAAACTTTAGGGATTGTTTGGAGGTGGTGCAACGTCGAGCATTGAGCCGTCTTGTTAGGGGATAACACTTTCTGGTATGGCGGTGGATAAGTATGGGGGTGAATAGCCACCTGAAGGTGGAGGGTACTGAGATGGTGGTGGATACCTAGGAGGAGTTCGTGAAGGTGGAGGATACCTCGGAGTAGCTGATGGATACTTTTGTGGGTGGTGAATATCAAGGATAACCTTAAGTTGGTGGTGGATGGCCTTGAGTTGGTGGAGGGTATCTAGATGGTGGTAGATGGCCTCGAGTGGGTGGCGAGTACTGCCTTGGAGGTGGATGACCTTGAGTAGGTGGAGGGTATAGGGTATCTAGATGGTGGCGTGTACCTTTGTGGTGGTGCGTGGGCTTGAGTAGGTGGTGGTTGACCCTGAGTGGGTGGACCGACTAGGTGGTGGATGACCTCTAGTTGGTGGAGGGTATTGGCTATGTGGTGGACCACGTTGAGTGGGTAGTGGGTATTGGCTTGGAGGAGGATGCCTATGAATAGGTGGTGAATAACCGTGAGAGGATGGTGGATGGCCTTGAGTTGATGGTGGATAACTTTGAGATGGTGGCAGATATCGGATAGTTGGTGGACTTTGAGGAGGCAGACGCACACGAGAGGGTGGGGAATAGCCACCGGAGGGAGGGGCATACTTATACGTTGGCGGTGACTGGCCATAGTCTATTCCCTTTTTCGAGAGTATAGATTCACGAGCAGTGGCATGTTCTGCATTGCCAGGAGCTTGATCTCTAGGATGATCACTGGAAACGGTGGCAAATGAAAGGGCACTGCTCTGAGCTGCGAGCACTAGCAGCAATATTTGTGCAAGCAAAGCAAGCATCCTCACTCTAGTAAATGGAAGAGTGTTTTGGTTCAGTGAAGAGTGGCAAATTCGGTGCATAAATAGCCTCTAGAACTGGCGATACTACCCACCAACAAGCAAATGATCTGTTGGTGTGTCAATTAGCTTCGACGTTTACCCCATATGTTAAAAGCTAATGCATGAACTTTCTAAATATAGTAAAAGCATTGGATTTTAGTCACAGGCAAAGTTCGACATTTAAATATGAAAAAGGGGCGTCATTCGATTGACTCTTTTAACATGGTTTGCTTTGTCTTACTGCTAAGCGTCTGTTTGAGGTTCATCTGCTGACATTATACGAGACAATTGGCACAATTTTGGTTCAAGGAACCGAAATAGATAAATGCTTTGAGGTAGTGAAGCAAGAAATCTATCTCGGGCAACTTTTCATTTGAAACAAAATTCATCAAAATCCATTCAGATTTGAGCAATAAATAAGCTAAAACAACATTTCAAGGGAAAAAAAAGCTACAAGAAGGAAACCCCTTGTGCCCATCCAAAATTCAAGAAATGAAGTTCTTTTATAAGGGAAGTGCAGACATAAACACTAAACAGAACCTTCATTTGCAGTCAAACGAATCTGTTCTGACTTATAGTATTAAGCTGATAATCGGTAAATTACCGGCTCAGACAGGCTGTGAACTTCTATTCAATTCAATTGAAGCAACAAAACTCATCATGCTAGGTTTACAACAACCTCTTGTGATTTAAGAAAGTCCTCCTGTGGAATCCATATTTCACAGAAATCCTGTAAATCTTTAATTGAAAAGAATGATAATGGTGGCCTTTGTTATTATAGCCTAAGATACTCAAAGGTTGTCTCCTAGAATACAACTCATAAAAGGCCCTTGCAGTGGGTCATTTTTTTTCCAGTACGATAGACAAATATTTTTTTGTTTTTCTCTATATTACGAGCACGAGTTATAATTTTTAAGAAACAAATAAAAATTCAATGAATGATAAGAAAACAATAAATCTTTTTTTTTTCCTTCTCTTTTTACCTTTAACCCAATTTTTGTGTTTTTAGTTTTATCTTTATTGTCCATTTTTATTATTATTTTTTTCACATTCTTTTTCTTCTTCCTTTTCTCTCCTAATCCCTCATTCTTTCCTTCAACTCTTCTCCCTCTCTCTCCTCACTTCCTAGGTGCCAAAAAATTTTAAATAAAATAAAAGAAAATATCGAAAATGCCTTTGGTACTAAAAAATGGAAAAAAAAAATCAAAGGATGCCATGTGTCAAACATTGGTTGAGCTCAGTGTCAACCACGTCTTGTCTTTCGATTTCATATGGTTATAAATACTTTAAACAGATAACCTGTACCCTTAACATGGTGGAGGAAATGGTTATATCTCTTATCACAGATCTTCAAGGAGCTCCAACACCAGCATCCTAATCTTTGAAGGTTGCTTCTCGAATCCCAAGTGGACTGCAAGAAATATGTCAGAATCAACAAAGACGAAAATAGAAATTAGGTTCACAAATGAGAAAGATAATCAAAAGTTTACAGGGTTAGAAACCAGCAATCATAAAAGTTACCATGGATGTATGGGACAAATGATAAGTCACAAGAAATGATAAAAACAGCTTTTGAAGCCTTTACAAGTTTTAACTAAATATTTCATGCTTGTTAAGACATACTATAAACTGACAAACAACATAAAATATGTGTAAAATTCTATAAGAATTCCCAAAAAAATGTATATAAACACAAGAAATGATGGCTGACGATAAGAAATAAAAATGCACAGTTTGCAACTTGTAAGCATAGGAATCTGTGATCTAGGTGATCTATGTGACAAGTCTTTGTGGGTAGAATTACATAATACAGTTAACAAAATACTGAAAGGAACACAAAATTTCGGGTCCATTAACATTTCCCTGCTACAAAATAGGATGAGCAGATATAATTAAAGCTCAAGGGCTCTCAGCATGTCCATAACCAGAAAAAATAATTTCTAAACCAAAATCATGAAAACATAACAATTCAGCATTTAACCTATAACATTGGGTTAATCATCATTAAAAATTGAGTAAGTAACCACCGATGCAGAGGTGGTAGTTTCATGCTAGAGATTGTAAAATCATCATTAAAACTAAGTAAAACAGAGTCGACTTATGCTACAATGATGATATTTTCTGTACTTGGGTAAACTATGGAAGCTTTTCTTCACTGACATATTTTGCTTCACCACTAAATCAGTAGTAAAACAGAGTCGACTTATGCTACAATGATGATATTTTCTGTACTTGGGTAAACTATGGAAGCTTTTCTTCACTGACATATTTTGCTTCACCACTAAATCAGTACTTACTTTAATGCGGGTTTCTTCTCAAATCACTAGTTAAAGTTTCAAAGAAGAAGAAGTGATAGAGGGCAAGTCATGATGCTAATTAAAGCACAAAGGTCAAAGTCAAAATTCAATGTTGTTCCATAGGATGAATTTAACTCAAATCTGTGTCTAGACTGGATGAATAGGTGATTTTGTTTCTTGAACTAACTTATTTATGTGCACAGTTTTACAAATTACAATGTTTCTCTCATGAGGTCTCTAAGAGTTCCACAAATTACAAAAACCAGGTCTATTAGAATCCATCCAGCAGAACTCAGTTGTCCGTGATAATACTTTGCACCAAAACTGTTTTTCCTTTTTAACATTTTGGTTCATGTAGAGTCAAATCAGAGGAAACTATGGCAATCCCTAAAACAATTTCAACATAAACAAATGAAAATCAGCAACAACCAACATAAAGAACAACATTTCAAACTCTCTAAAATAGATCATTAACCATACTATGGTTACCAGGTTATGTAATAAAAGTGATGGATTAGAACTTACATAGGCAATTCAAAATAGGAACAGAGGCATCAGTCATCATGTCCCTCAAATGAACTTGGACCTTTTATCTGCTGGCTTAAGAATTTGGAAAGAGCACATTAAGCTTTCATCAACACTCATCATTGCCCCAGCATTATCAAATTCACCACAATAATTGGGAGCAGAAAATATTGTAACAAGCTTTCTGTCAGCAAAGAACTCATATCCATCTTCAACAACCTGAAAGAAGCATTTGTTAGCTGCTAAGCTTACACACTCACACACTAAAGAAGGGGAAAAAAAAAGAGCAAATGACCCTAACCTGATGGGCACGGCAAACAAGGTCCATATCATTTTTCATTAAGAAATCAGAGACTCTATCTGGGCCAAAGGTGAATGACACTCCTCGATCATTCATACCCCAGCCTTTGATATCCCTACCAGGATCTGACCAAAGTAAATCACAAAGCAAACCAGAATCTGGAACATCAGTTGGGCGGGTTAGACTCCTAATTTGATCCAAATTTGTTAGATCAGGGGAAAGGCCACCATGCATGCACAATATTTTGTCATCTATTAGGGCAGCCACTGGAAGACAGTTAAAACAATCAGTAAAAATTTTCCAAAGTCTCACATTGAACCTTCGTTTGCATTCATCATAAAATCCATATATCCGATTAATAGAAGCACATTCATGATTCCCTCTCAAAAGAAAGAAGTTCTCAGGATATTTGATCTTATAGGCTAGCAAAAGGCATATTGTTTCCAGACTTTGCTTGCCACGATCAACATAGTCCCCTAGGAATAAATAATTGGCATTAGGAGGGAAACCCCCATATTCAAAAAGCCGCAGAAGATCAGCGTACTGCCCATGAATGTCGCCTGGAAGAAAAAAAAAACAGAAGAACACAGACTATTGAAATTTCTTTTAAAAAGTTAAAACCAATTGTCAAAATTAGGAAGATAGATTTCCAGAAATAATGTTCAAAATAGTATGTGAGAAATTAAACTGTATTCCATGTTTCTTCACTTCACCATTTTGATATAGTTGCCACCTCCACATAAATTGAAAGTGAAGTTAGTTTAATTAAAACTATGAATAGTTCCAATATGCGGAACTATCAGCAGCATATTTCCAATATTTCTTTAGGTGAGTTGCCTTACCTATTCATAATTGGAATTACCAAGTAGTACCAAAAAAGTATTATTTCATCAGTTTTTGGTACTATGGTGGAAGCAATCTTTTAAAGAAAATTAGGACTAAAATGAATTAAAAAAGAGGAGCAATCACTTAGTTCTATGTACTTATAATAGAATCTGTCACAACATTATAAAGGATTCTTCACCATTGATTTTCATAAAAATTGTATTTAGCTTTCTAACAATATCTAAGAACTTCATAGTTGCTCAATCAAACAACCAATATTAGTTTTCTTATAGAAGCCATTGACAAAGCCCCATGCATATAACATAGAGAAATAAAATGCAACAGAGAAAAACGGAAAATATCAAGCTAGCAAGGGGGATATTCGCATTATTGCATAGAATTGACAAATCTCCAAAGCACAGAAATTCTATAAAGGAAATGTAATTGAATAAGGTGTTTGCTTCCAAGTAGTTATTTTAACTCATTTAAAGGGCATATATTAATCCATTTTGTCCTCCCAAAAGGGGAAACCTGCCCATCAATTTAATCATCCAACCAAATTGATAAAACCTGACAAATATCATGTTTATAGCATAAATCTTAGCAACAATCTTCTCAAACCCTCCCAAGAAAAGTGATTATTCCAGTGAAGAACATCGATGATAACATAACTTTTAACTTATTTTCTTTTCTCAGACCTCATGATTGTGCAAGTCTAAGATAAAGGCTTCCCTTATAGTGAAGGACTGAAGGCTTCAATAATGCTAGGCTCGTTACTTTTATGTGGTTCTATCATTTACATGATCTTCTCTTTGTCCATCATCTACAAAGCTACTAATAAATGGTTTCCACTCTAAACAATTAACAATCCTTAGAGTAGTGGTAGATGATTAACATAAATATTCAGCCTTCCCTATCCATTCCTCTGCAATAGCTGACTTTTCTCCACCAAACAGTCTTTCCAGCCAACCCACGGCATCCTCAAGTAACTAGATAAAAGAAGCAGCTCACCCAATTTAAAACACCCTTATATCTAGACTGTAGCTCCCCCACCCCATCCCCACCCCACTATAGCATTAAAATCCTACCAAAATCTAAAAGATGCAATGCATCAAGACGGTTACAATTTCATACCATCAATCTCTAGTCAAATTCAGATTATGTGCAATTATGCATACTAGAGTCCATCAATAGCTAAGAAACTACGTACTCAGCCTCATTTTCTATCTATTCTATACCGCAATTAATCCCATACTTTCATTTTTCAAATTAAAAGAAAAAAATATGGATAAGAAACCAACCATACCAAGAACAACAACATCAATTTTCAATCAATTCAATTTAAGCAAGAAATCAAGTATACCCTCAAATTAAATGCAGCAGCAGCCCCTAAGGACATACATAATTAAACAAAAAGCAAAAACAAACATTTCCTTCAAAAATTTTAACTCTTCCATCATCTAATCAAATTCCCAAAGAAAAAAAAGAAAGAACATTTCTTCAACGTTTTCAATTTTTCCCTTATACAATCAAAACTCAAACACCCAAAGCGGAAAACTAGATATCCAAAAACCCAAGACATGAATTTCCAGTATTTTCAATAAAAAAAAATAATATACAAAAATAAAGGCGTACCACAGATCTTGATGGGAGCTTCAAGTTCAAGAAGATTAGGCTGTTGAAGAAAGATTTCTCTTGCAACAGTGCAAAGCTGACGGATCTCACCTTCCATCAGGTGCACTTGCTTCCCTGGCCTGGCTTGCTTAAACTCCAATAAACGACATATTATATCATCCAAAACGGCAGGGTCCATTGAAACAGATCCCATAACTTGGTCAAACAATCAAATCTTTCCAACAAAAAACACTCAAGTTTCCCTCTTCTGGGTTTCTTTAACTGAGTGTTATTTTGGGTTCTTTTAAAAAAAAAGAGGCGGTGAAGAACGTGGCTGGGCTTTTCTTTTGTTCTTTTTTTTTATTTATTAATATTGTTTGTGTGGAACAAAATAATCCTACTAATAATATATAAAAAAGATTAAAAAAACTTAAAAATTTTAAATTAAAGGCGGTGGTGACTGCAACTCCGGTGCGGCGGAGAAGCCTATTTGTTTATATCTATGAATCAAATTTTTCTTGGGTAAATACCACTGTTTTTGTTTTCTTCATCATCATAATAATTAAGTGATAAGGATGAAAATTTGGAGAAGTTTGGAGATGTTTTTATGGCCGTTAACCGAAAAGCCAATTAAACTAACAAGAGCTATCCATCATCAATCTATCCAATTAGAAACGACAAGGACAACAACCAAACAAAAAATCTGAGTGACGCATAAGCTTGGTTTGGGTGGTGAAGGCATTAAGATGGCTTGTCCAAACTTGCTAGGCATGTGCATTAAATGTCAAATCAATGAAATTTATTTTTCTCTCATATGTAAATTTGATATATTTTGAATTTTATTTTCCATTTAAATTTATGCTAAATTTGTGAATTTAAATGTAATAGGAATAGAACATAGTAATACAAGAAATTTTAATGAAAGTAAATTAAAAGAATTTGAATTCTAAAAATTTTATAAAAAAATTATATTTTTAATATAATTTATTGAAAAACAAAATAGAAGACAAAGATAAAAAAATCAAGACAGAGTTTTGATTTTTGTTTATTTTGTTCTTTTATTTTTAACATGTGACAACAGTTTGGTCAACAAAATTCTTTCCAATCGCTTTTGGGCGCGTGCCAATTACACTATCAGAGGAAACGGCGGCGTTCCATCTTCTGTGGAACTGAAAACTCTTGAAACAGAGTAAACACGCTTCTTATAATAAGTTGTCTTTAACGAAGACAGATAAACGCTCAAAATCTGCCGTCTGGTGGGGTGAAAATTTGTTCATAAAAAATACATGGGAAACTCCAAATTATAATTCTTGATATGTTTCCTTGTCTAGATCATAGTGGCTGATTCCCATGTCATATCTATCCCTTTATAAACTTTGACCCAACCCAATTGACGAGGTGATCTCCATTCAAATTCAAAGTTCTCCCTTTTCTATTCTTCCTTCAGCTCTGGTTCTCAGGTAAATTTGTCATTTTTTACTCTTTTCTGCTGTTGTTTTTATGTGTTTTGGGTTTCTGTTGAGGTTTCCTGAAATGGTTATTTGATTTCTTGTGAAAATACGGTGTTTTCTTTTTTCTTGTATTTGAAAAAGGAATACTTTACCCTGAAATGGGTAAATGTATGTGGTGTTAGCTTTATTTAGTAGATTCTGAGTTTTGTGGCCTGCTGCTGTTTGTGCTTTTATACTGAAATGTTGAACTGTCAATGAAGCAATTTTGTGCCTTCAATGTACCAATTTCATGCTTGAGGTTTATCTGAGGTTTGTGCATTGACTTGGGGTTCAATAAATGATTGCTGTTGAGAAGGAGGTTCAGAGGCATCAGAAATCATACAAGAGTAGACAAGAAAATTTTGGGCAGCATTTAGGACTATATGCAACAATTCCCCTTTGGAATTTTGGTTAGCTATGTTGAATAATGAAGACTGCACAAAGAGGAGAAGATGGTCCTCCAGTGTGGTTCTATTATGTTGAGTTGCGAAGTTGAAAGGAGCAATGTTTTAACTAAATTTTACATGGCAAGAGGGATGAATAAGTAACAGCTTCTCCCGGTGAGTATAGACATGGTCGTATCAATATGTTATGATATTTCAAAGGTGTGACTTCTGAAGAATCTGAAGGGTGAAAGTAGATCTGCCGGGCTGATCCCTTGTGCCTTGTAGGTGGATATTGATATCAGTAGCGTTTTCAGTTTAGTTTGTGAACTATCATGTGTAAAGCATGATATATGCCTTTTCGTTTAGAAGAGATATGGGATGATGTATTGTATATTAATTCTTAGGCTGTTCAGTCCTGTTGATTTTAAAGTTTTGGTTGTGCTTTAAGGCAGGAGAAATTGCCCATCTACTCCCAATTTAAAAACTACTGCTGTGTCATGAAAAATGAAAAGCTATGTCCTTGTTTTTTAATTTAAAATCACCATACTCATGTGAATTGAGTGATTGCTCCAAGCTTTTATTGATGCCCTTGATCTTGGCAAGTTAATTTATCACACATGGCCTTTTCTAGCCTAACCCGTAGAACTCCTGATTTGGCTGTTTGAAATTATTGTTTCTTTACGAGGTGTCTTACTCTCATCTGTTTTGTTTGTTTGACTTAATTAATGGTCCTGCTGTCCAGGGAGATGGAACATGACGAAGTCTCCATTTTGAGATCCAAGGATCAGAAGAAAATTGAAATGACAATGCTCTCTAAAGGAAATAATGTCATTTTAATGCCACAGTCAACATGCTGCTCTGTTTGTGCGTTTTCCAGGCAAGAAAATACTATTGTGGAATCAAATCAACGATGGAAGTCACTGACCAAACTTTCGGGGCTCATCATTTTCTACCTTATGGTTATGTTAGTAGAGATTGTTGGTGGAGTGAAAGCCAACAGCCTTGCAGTTATGACAGATGCAGCCCACTTGCTCACTGATGTTGCTGGATTCTCCATATCTCTTTTTACAGTCTGGGCTTCAGCATGGAAGCCAACATCAGACCATTCTTTTGGATTCAATCGTCTTGAAGTCCTTTGGTGCTCTTTTATCTGTGCAGCTCATATGGCTTGTATCTGCAGTCTTATTTTATGAAGCACTTAACAGAATTCTTACACAAAAAAGAGGTAAATGAAGCACTCATGTTGCAATTGCTGCATTTGGATTTATATCAACTTAGTAATGGTCCTTTGCTGGTCATGACCACACTCACCATGTTTTGGGGACATTACGACGACCACCATCACCACCACCCCACCATAACATCTCATCATCATCATGACCACGTAGAGGAGAACCTTTGATTAACTGAGAAGAGAGACTTTTGGGCAGTAGTCTAGGAAACCAAGATTTAAGATAATCTCTACAAGATTACATTGCATGTCATGCTGATAATTTCATCTATTTGAAGTGAGATTGGAATCCGTTCTTTGATAAACCAAAGTTTGATAGTTGATTCTTCTCTGCACCCTTGTCTTCTCTACTTTTCTCTGAGCACCACTCTACCTATGCTTAGAGATATTTTTGGCATATTGATGGAAAGGACACCAAGAGACATTAATATTGATGTGCTGGAAAGTGGTATCAAGGGTATCAACGGAGTCCAAAATATTCATGACCTCCATGTATGGGCTATAACTGTTGGGAAACTTGTACTGTCCTGCCATGTAGTAGCTGAGCCTGGAGTCAGCTCTAATGAAATACTTGGTAAGATCCAGGATTACTGTGAAGAAACATACAAAATTCATCACATAACTGTACAAATCGAGTAGTCTTTTACTGATACCTTTATATTTTCTTTTCTACATATTTAAAACATCCAAGATTGCCGACCAACTGTTCTATACCAAATTCATGAACCTTGCTGTTGCTTTGGTACAAATGATATATTATCGAGTCAAATGACATGGAAACGCTCGGCTTGTGTGTGGTCCTGCAATATGCATGCTTATCGGCTACTTGGTTTTATTCCCCTTTAGCAGCTGTCAAAGACAATGGACAGCACGTTCGGGATGGTTATGCCCTGTTTGTTCCTGCAGATACTAACCAAGAAGCAACCTCCAAGTCACCATCTTCCCGGTTTTAATATCCTCCAACATTATACTTTTCTTTGTTGACCTTTTTTATTTCCATTTGAATAAGTTAATTTTCTCGATCTCTCGTTTGGTAACGTACAGGCCCAGATTAACCAGCTATTGAATTCAGACAAAGGCTTATCCGTACCTTTCAATTCTCACAACCAGAAACTTTAAATAAGCCATACATTGTCCTGGCAGACCCAGCCATACTGAAAAGTATAGGAAGAGTAAAAGTCAAAATGGAGACACTTTTATTACAAGTTAGTGGCTGATCAAATAAAACAAATTATGCTTCTCTGTTTCAAATAGCAACTTCCACTTTTAAGCGAAACATGTTAAGAAAAGAGCAAAGTAAAAGCAGACCTTTCCATGCTGCTAACAACATTGTTGTTTAAAATATCACAATCTTCCTTGTCACAATTACAACTAAGTAAAAATACGTATTCTACATGTGTTTCTCTTAGCCAAAAATTGACCAAAAAAAAAAAAAGGATGGGAAAAGAAGAGAAAATAAAAAGACAAGTAAAAAGGAAAAAAAAAAAAAAAGAAAAAGAAAAGAAAAGGCCTGCATGCTAGCAAATATTATACCTTCTCAAATATAACCTATCACCTTTTTAAGTAGAACAGCATCCTTTTTTAGCGTTCCCTGATGCATCAGCAACGTTAATGGTGGTTCCTTGGCTTGGAAGCGTGGTATTAGCAGCTGCTTCCTGAGCAGCCAATGCCTTTTTGCTTATGATATGGTAGATCTCATTCAATATGGTTTGGAATGCCTTCTCGATGTTGGTTGCTTCCAGCGCTGATGTCTCGAGAAATGAAAGACCTTCCCTCTCAGCCAGAGCATGGCCATCTTCCTCAGAAACAGCTCTGAGATGATTCAAGTCAGATTTATTTCCGGCCATCATGATGACAATGTTAGAATCCGCATGGTCCCTCAATTCGCGCAGCCACCTTTGAACATTATCAAAGGTTTGCCTCTTTGTTATGTCATAGACAAGAAGTGCACCAACAGCTCCTCTGTAGTAAGCACTAGTGATAGCTCGATATCTCTCCTGACCAGCCGTATCCCAAATCTGTGCCTTAACAGTCTTTCCCTCAACCTATATCATATAAAACAATGAAATTAATAACAAAATACAAAACCAACAATTTACCAAACTGCATAACCATGACTGATAATTAACAAAGAATCAAAACAAGGTTCCAATAAATCTAATATGACAAGCTGGCAAACACAAGAAAAGGTTGTTGTTTCATAATCAAATACTCAATTATGTCATGGGCCTATAAAAAAAAAAAACAGGATGTTCCCTATCATTACAAATGAGACTAGAGCAGCCTAATAACAGCTTGGATTAATATAATAACTTAATTTTCAATTCAATAAAATAATCTGCCGACAGACAAGAACCTTCCCATCCTTCCAACTTAGTATCTTTGATAAATAAAATAGTCAGAAACAGGAAAAAAGAAAACCCTTTGAATTGATCAACTTTCCACCATTTCTTACATAACTATATGGTTTTAGTGTTAAGAACTAAAACGAAAGAGCCTTCAACGATCACCACTATCTGATTATCTTTTTTTTCTAACCTCACTATAAACCATTCAAAATGAACTTCCAAGTTAAAATCAGAGTGCAAGAGAAGGCAATCAGATTCGTCATATAATATTATTGAGATGACTTTTTTATACACTAATTATCCAATTAATTAGCATAAGATTTCACAGACAACTTAATCATGCAAATTTTCCGAAACTAAATCAGATCAGTTTTAAAATATCAAAGGCGAAGAGAATGATCAGATAAAAATTCCAGAAACTTCGAGAACCATTCATTTTCAGCAGAAAAACAAAAGAAAAAAAAAACACATACATAAAGATGAATCAAAGGGGAGTTGATTGAATAGATGAAAAACCTGGAGAGTTCTGGTAGCGAACTCGACGCCAATAGTGGATTTAGATTCCAAACAAAACTCGTTTCTGGTGAACCTAGAGAGAATATTCGATTTTCCAACTCCAGAATCGCCGATCAACACGATCTTGAAAAGGTAATCGTATTCGTGATCTACTCTATGCGCCATTTTCCCCTCTCCTCTCTCAACCTGGAAGATCTAAAAATCAATCAATCAAAATAGAAAAAAAAAGAAAAGAAAAGAAAAAAAAAGGGAGAGAGATCTGGAAACGATTGAACTTACCCGAACAGGATAGATCGAGAAGAGAAAATTCCAAAAATGGAAAATCAATAATTTTGGAGAAATTATACGAAAATATTTATAAAAAATTGAATTATCGAATAGAGGAAACGGAGAAAACGATGACTATTGGAGAGGAAGTGGCAAAGGGGGCCGGGGGAGGGGGCTCTGATTTTTATTTTTGAAACGGGCGAGATTATATATAGATTTTCTATTTTATTGCGGTTTTCGACTTTTTGCGGAAAACGGTGTCGGTCGGGTGGCAATTTTGTGAAAAAGACAAATTTAAAAGGTCAAAATATGAGTAGCAGCAGGCTGGCAGGGTGATTGGAGTGACACATGAATATATCATCCCGCATTTGTCCTTTTCTTGAGCTTTAATCTGGTGCGGTCAGAATTACAATCTCCAATATTTTTGTCAATTGCTTCCTGTTATGAACATCGTGCGATTGAATCATGATCGGTTTCATATTTCTGATGTATCGATTCATTGGATGATTTTTGGTCAAACATTGAAAGACGGGTTGTAGAATATAATTTTGTGTCATTATACCCCTACCTTAATTTTTTTTTTGTTTTATTTTAATCATGTGATGAATGGCACAAGATTCTTCTATCATATGATCGGGAAATAAAAAAGAGCTTTAATTTTTAATAGGTCAATATGCAATTATCCTTTTTTGAAAGATGTACTCACTACCATTTTACACCAAATTTATGCCATTCAAAAAATAGTTATGCTAAATGGAGGTTTTTTTTTTAAGCCAATTGAGGATTAATTCTATTTAAATTTTAATATTTTTTTTTTTTTATTTTCAAAGTTCAAATTGTGATATTTTTTGTAAAACCAAAATTATATTAATTAATAAAAAATACTATTATTAATAATTTTAAATTTGTTTTTATTTAATCTTGTATGTCAAGGAGTTAATTTTTATATGTGCAAACACACATGCATCTATGTGTGTGTTAATTTATGAAATTAACACCATAATTAGAAGTTTTAATAATTTGCCTTATGATTCCAATGACTAGTTATTTTCATTACCATGGGAAGGCCATTTTTTTTTTTTAAGTCAACTATAGCTAGAGTTATCACGAATCAATATCAAATTGAAGTCAATGATAAAATGATTAAAACCATTCTCACCTTTGATTCAAGAAAATTAGATAAATAAAAGTATAAATAATTAAATTTTATATTCGATAAAAAGTTGATATTTAACTTTTAGGATATAATTTATAAAATGAAATCCTTAAACGGTTTTAATTTGGTAATATTAATCCATTTAATAATTAAATATGTTGTTTGCGTTGATTATGTTGATATGTTATCAATAAAAATTTAATTTTAAATTGATTTAAATTATTTGAAATCTAAAATAATTTATTCAAAATAAAGTTTAAATTTTAAAATTTGACTTATGCTGGCATGATGTAAAATCAAAAAATATATATATATATATTGTTAATTTCCGATGCGAAGATACTAAATTAGTAAAGCAAATTATTAATATAAATATAATTACATAATAATAATGAATAATGAAGTATGAACTAACATGATAGGCACCATAAAAGGTGCTGGATGATTGCGATTTCCATTACTTGTTGGTAGTATTATGCTTTTTTTTTTCTTATATATTTTTTAAAGTAAAACATAAAAATTTATTGAAAAAAAATTTAATATAAAATAAAAACAAAATTTTAAACCCATAAATGGTAGGATTATTTTCGCGTTTATGAATCATTAATTATAAAAATTTATATTTAATATATATTAATATATAAAATTTATATATCATCATTAAAATAATATAATGTTATCTCATTAATAAAAAATAAAAAAAATTAAATTTTTATATATTCATTTAAAAAATTTATATTTATTTCTCATTAAAATGATATTATACATACGTTAATAATATATAAAATATTTACTTTACCTGGTAAGGATCCGAAATTCGAATAATTAGTCAGCAGTTAGTTTATCCTATCCATGATTCTGCTAAGTTAGGTAGAAGTAAACCCGCTAACCAAACACCTTCCTCCAACGATCTTAGTACGTGCAAAACACGCCCGACAACTGAGAGGATTTTAAATCTAACTCCCCTGAAACTATAAAAAAATGTAAGAAAGGTGAAAAAAACAAAAAAGAAACCGGTTAATACCGAATGAAGAAGTTTCAATTTCCGAAGAAGTCATCATCGGCCCCAAAAACTAGAGCCCAAATTCCTGATAACCGGAAAGTCACCGACAATTGACAAACTCTCTCGCGATCTCACTCAGATTGCAGATAATCGGAGAGAGAAAAAGATGAAGAAAGAAGAAACAGTGAAACTCATCAGCGCTGAAGGGATCGAATTTGTTATTGACAAGGAAGCTGCCATGGTTTCTCAAACTATCCGTAACATGCTTACTTCTCCAGGTGTTTATATCTCTTCGATCTTTTGTTATTCGTTCTTTTTGGAAAATTTGGTTTCTGGGTTTCTCTGGGTTCTTAGTTGTTTTTTGATTGGAAATGTCAATTTTTTTTTGTTTTTTGGTTGATGATGAAGGTGGTTTTGCGGAGACGGAGCATGGTGAGGTGACTTTTCCGGAGATAAGTGCTGTGATTCTTGAGAAGATCTGTCAGTATTTTTATTGGTCTCTTCAATATTCCAGGTTTGTGGATTTTTTATATTTGATTATTCATTCAGTTTTATAACCTGTTTCTTTCAATCAGACTTTGTTTTGTGTCATTTGGAAAGAATTCTATGAATGCTGTGGATATATTTGAAGTTGTAACTGGAATTGTAGCTTTATGAGAGTGAATATGTTGATAAACGGTATGTGAATGAAGCCCATGTTGGTTGTTGTGTTTCTCTAGGAGAGCTCTGTCTGAAGTTTATAATTGCTTACACGCGTACACGTACAAAATAAGTCTTACCTTGAAGAAGAAAGTGAGAGAGTAAGAGAGGGGGATAAACATTTAGTTCATTGCTAAATTCATTTGTTGGAAAGACTTGAAAAAGTAAAAGAACGTTCAACAGAATTTATATCACTGTTCCAAGTAATAGCTTTTCCAGGCACCAAGATGGGTAAGTAATTGGCGAATGATGGTCCTAATGAGGTGAAAGTGGAAGCGAGGCCAACCAAAATCTTCAAATAATAAGATAAAACTTTTTTTAGTAAGGCGTATGTGAGGAACAAGTATAGAATTAACAAGCCTCATGCAAAGATAGAACAGGTAGAAGGAATTTTGGTTTCAGGCTAATTTTTTGGATTTCTTTCATGCTTGAATGGGTTTCAAGAACTGTTTCTCTATGGTTGAATTTGTCAAAAATACTGCTTGAATTTGTCAAGGTACATTTTTTGAAATATTCCGGTTGTTTCATGAACTGTAGTTGGAATCTCTGAGAAAAATTTTTATCATCTGAATATAAGCACTAGTTCTAGATGAAACTAGAATACACTTTGGTGTGAAATTATGGAATGGGCTGTGGGTGTGGGATCATTGGGCATGGTTCTCTCTTCCCATGTGATAGTTTACTCCCACATAGATGAGTATAGATATTAGATACTTGCCAAAAGATAGAGAGTGTTTGGTATATCCTTTTGCTTTGCCATTTGATTTTTTTTACAACTATACAATTTCTCAAACTTATCAAACATATTTTTTATGCGATAACTATCAACCGACTTGTTTACTTTTGTTGATTGCTTGAATCACCACTGTTTCTATGTATGAGTTATGTTTATGAGTTCTTCCTATTTTCGTTTTAGACTGATAAAAAAGTTACTATTTTGGCAGGGGTAAAGATACCGAGTTCCACATTGAACCTGAACTGACTCTGGAGCTGATGATGGCTGCTAATTATCTCCATACTTAGCCAATTACTTTCTTTGCTTATTAGGTGAGATGTTCTGTTCAGAATTTTAAAGCTTTTTGCTACACAAGTATGTGTTATCTCTTTTGATTTTTTTCTTATTTTCTTGTGAGTGTCACTATCAAGTTACCATCTTTCTCTTTTGTGTCTACCTTGCAGAATTACTCCGGGGTGGTATTCTTGCCCAAGAGGAGTATCTGTGTCATGTATTTTAGCTCTCTGCTGCGCTGCATAGTGGTGTATTTACAATAATCTTATGTGATTGTTTTGACTTAGAACATAGACTTGTCTAGGCAAATGAATGCAGTTATTGCAAGATGTATCATTGCTAACAATTAACAGTATGCACTGAAATAACTTGAGCACAATTTAAAATGCAAACTGTTTATGACTAATTGTAGTTTATTTTGATATCTTTCCTTGCATTATCAGTAACCCATATTTCTTCCATAGGATTACAAACAGACTGTATATTGTAGAGACCCTTTAATACAACGTTTCAGGATCTGCTCACTAAAAGGTTAAAAGTCAAACTTGGATATAGAAGATCATGAAATCTTATTGCCAGCTTGCACATTCAGACATCAAATTAGAACTCTTTTCCACATCAGGTGCTACTGCTGGCTTATTGCTGCTTATTTTTTAACTCTGAAAGTATATAGGAATTTACACGATCACTAATGGGTCTTAAACTATACAATAAATAAAAGTTTCACGAGGCATTCACTACCTGCCATAACATCCATTATGTGATCAAAATGATATAATTAGCTCAATTAACTGATTCAAGTAATTGTAGGAAGAACCACCTCTGATGCAGAGTGCAACCATCTCCAAATTTTCCAAGCTTAATTTACAAAGCAAAAATCAGCATAAGTTACCAGATCACTATCAGTGTAAGGCCTGATATTCTCTCTTTCAGTTCAAGTTACCAGATCACCATCAGTGTAAGGCCTGATATTCTCTCTTTCAGTTCCTTGCATGAGAAGAAATCTTTTATTGCGACTGTTTCAGGAAGAGAACTGGAAAAAGTGGCATCAGCCTCACTCGTTTGGTCTGATTGTATTCATAGTGTCCATAGCCCTATAATTGTATACACAGAATTAGAATCATCACCTGATAATTAGGTTGTTTATGTTACATTATACCCTAAGCAAGAATAATCTAGCTTCTGCAACTTCAGTTGCTTCAGCTTCCTGTTCAAATCATTAAACTTTTTAATGCCATACTGGCCAAAGGGGGAAAAATATGGCCAAATGGGGGGGCGGGTCAACAAGTTCAGGATTTTGTTTTCTTGGTACATAAAAAATTCAAGATTTTAAATTGACTTACATGGAGCTAATGAAACATCCTAGAGATAAAACAGATTCATATTATAATAAATATACAGACTTAATCCAAGGACACACATGATTATAAAAGAGTTTAAATCGGATTTTACTTTGTGATGTCATACATGTATGTCATGTCTTGTTTCTTTATTTGTTTATCCTTTTGATCAAGTTCAAGGGAATGGCCATCCATACCTGGCTTTTTAAACAGGAAATGCATGCATACATATCTTCATTTTTTCTTTTCTATCTGGCTGGTCTGTACTGCATCCAATGGTATATCAGATATGCTTATCCTGTGAAAACTCAATTGACAGTAGAATGTATATGTTGATAAGTTATGAAAGAATCTTCCTTTTTCGACTTTTACAAGTTGCAACTATTTATGGTATAAAAAATTGATAACAACTTATATCTTGTTTGGTCATTTAAAAACCAGTTTTTCTAGATGAATTGAGGTCACTCAGAAGCTGGAATTTGGTTATCTTGGCTTAAATGGAAAAACTGGCAATTAAAGTTCAGCAATTAGTCAATATACAAGGAGCAAAGCATTCAATGGGAAAAATTATTACAGATACATAATAAGGAATATACCAAAACCCATGCTTTGTACTTTACACAGGAGCATTACATGGATTTTAATTCATAATCTCATATAGCTTCATAATTAATGTTGTGTTTGTCTTTATATCATAACTGCTGCCTGTTCCTCACTCTTTGGTTTCATTGCTTGCCATTACAAAAAAATCTGACAGGTCTTTATTGGAATATCATGTCCCGTATATGTACTTATCCTATGAAAACTGATATTCTACGTTTCCTAGTGAAGTTATGTAATTACAGGAAACTAGTCGACACAGAGGAAGAAAGGAAATCACTTAATATCAGATGTTGAATTATTACAGTTAAAAAGAGTTAAAGACAGGATTTCCCTACAAGGAAGTTAATCAAATTATGATTTATTTGAACATTCACAAGTGACTGCTATCTAAACAAATTTTCCATACTTTTGTATGCATATTTTGGCTATTTACAGATCTTTGATTTGGTAAATTTGATGATTTGGCTCCTTTGTTAGCTTTGGATGGAGAGCTAGCTTTTGAAAAACCTGAAATTCATCCATTTTTAAATTTTCTTTTACTTATATGGAAGGATATTTCATTCCTTAATTGGCCATAAATTCCCCTTAAGGACATATACTTATTTCTTGTCTGTAGCTCTTAAGATGAGTTGGTATCTTAACATAGAATATCTGGAATACTTAATACCAGTCCTAAACCCATATAAAATAACATCAACCAACCTGCCATTTTATGCATAGAAAATAATGGCCAATTACAGGTTCCTGCTGTTTCTTGACATTTTCCTCATCCTAATGGTTGGCATGAGCCTATCATCCATAGCAACCAACAATGATAGAAATGCAAGTATACTATCTTTGTAGCTTAACAATGAATTTATATGTGAAGAATGATGATTTGTGATTATATATGAAGATAATGATCACAATGGTGATGCAGGCCTACATTGTTTATATGGGATCGCTTCCTGTGGGGGAATATTTACCCACTTCTAACCATCATAGTATACTTCAACAAGTTATCAAGGACAGGTAGTTTTTAACTCTTACTTGACCACAATCTTTGAAAATATCATTTAAAAAAAAAAACTTTCTCTTCAGTTCCACGGCGGATACCTTGATCAGAAGTTACAAAAGGAGTTTCAATGGATTTGTTGCCAAGCTCACTGATGAGGAGGTAAAAAAGCTGGCCAGTAAGTGTTGCAATGTGCTTTTTGCTGCTTTTTTTTATTTTTTATTTTTTTATAGAGGTTATGTTTAAAATGGATTTTAAGACTTGTTTAAGTTAAAACTGCTTGATATATGCAGGCATGAAAGAAGTACTGTCCATTTTTCCTAACCAAATTCTCCACCTTCATACAACAAGATCTTGGGATTTCATGGGTTTTAATAATACTGCTAGACGCAATCCAACCATTGAGAGCAATGTCATTATTGGTGTCATTGACACTGGAATCTGGCCTGAGTCACCAAGCTTTAGTGATGAAGGTTTTGGTCCTGCTCCTAAAAAATGGAAGGGTGCTTGCAGAGGTGGCAAAAATTTCACTTGTAACAAGTAAAAATCCCAGATTTCTCACTTTGTTAGATTCTTCCTTCAGGGATTTGAGAAGCTTGTATAATTATCTTTCATTTTAATGTTATATGAACTGATATTTCATAATTTTGATGCTTCAAATGCTATGATCTTACTGAACATGCTTTGTCCTGCAGCAAGATTATTGGTGCTCGATTTTACCAGTCATCAACATCTTCAGGAGGGTCTGCAAGAGATGAGGTGGGTCATGGAAGCCATACTGCATCTACAGCAGCAGGGAATGAGGTAAAGGATGTTAGTTTCTTTGGACTTGCCCAAGGTACTACAAGAGGAGGGTTCCCTCTGCAAGGATTGCGGCATATAAAGTTTGTGGTCCGGATCGCACGTGTGCTTCAGCGGATATCTTGGCAGGTTTGATGATGCTATTGCTGATGGAGTTGATATTTAACAGTGTCACTTGGAGCAAGTGGATCAGTTGTTTTTTTAATGATGTCATAGCCATTTGGTTCTTTTCATGCAATGGAGAAAGGGAATACTTACCTAAATTCTGCAGGCAATGATGGTGCAGCAGGAGTACTTAGGGTGTCAAGTGTAGCACCATGGATGCTTGCTGTAGCAGCAAGTACCACAGATCGCCAAATTTATTGACAAGGTTGTTCTCGGAATGGCGAGACTCTAACTGTAAGTATCATAAAACTCAACCTTGTTTTCTTATGAATACCATAGACTTTGTATGTATGCTTGTGCCATATGCTTTATGATTCTTAGCATATATATATATATATATATATATAAATAGATACCTTAACATTTATCTTTGCTCAATATTCTAGTGATTATCTTTGTGCCAACAGGGGTTTTCAGTTAATTCCTTCACTTCCAAGGGAAAAAAGCTGCCTATAGTATATGGAAATGATGTTTCAAGAAACTGTTCTGAACTTTCTGCTGGGTTGGTTCAACGTGACAAACATTTTGATTCATTTGTTCCATATAAAAGAATCAGTGAAATAACCAAAAAGTTCCATTGCTGTTTCCCTTACAGGTTGTGTCTTGAATCATGTGTAGACAGTCATCTAGTGAAAGGAAAGATTACAATGTGTGATCAATTTGTAGGCAATTTTGTAGCTGATGATGCCGGTGCTGGAGGGTCAATTGTGCTAAATGACCAATTTGATAATGTTTCTTTTGTTACGCCACTACCTGCAGTTGCTTTAAATGTTAGAAACTATATTTTGGTCAAGTCCTACGTGAATTCCACCAAGTATGTAGCATGCTACAATATATTTTTAGGTGTGGCTGCAGCCCTTTCAGGCTTGGTTGAATGACTTGATTTCCATATCTTATGTTGTAGGAATCCTGTAGCAGAAATATTGAGTAGTGAAACCATTAAAGATTTGTATTCCCCGGTGGTTGCTCAATTCTCTTCACTTGGGCCAAATTTTATTGCGCCAGATATTCTCAAGGTATGCATTTTCAATAACACTCTGTTCTCTCTTTTTATGCACATGTTTTCCTTATTTCATTTTGTTCATGTACTGCTCTTCCTTCTGCACAGCCAGATATAACTGCCCCAGGAGTCGACATCTTAGCAGCATATTCACCAATTGCTCCACCCAGTGAGACATCTGGAGACAAAAGGCAACTCAAATATAGTGTCTTGTCTGGAACCTCAATGTCTTGCCCTCATGTCGCTGGTGTAGCCGCATATGTCAAAACATTTCACTCTGATTGGTCTCCTTCAGCCATCAAATCTGCTCTCATGACTACTGGTATAATCTTCTTGGTTCACATCCCTGTTTTAATATAGCTGGCTTGGTTAAAAGTAATCTTTCTTTCTAAATCTATATTTCTATCTCACCAAAATTTTCTTTGCCGGTAGCTTGGCCAATGGATAGATCCAAAAACCCAAGTGGTGAAATTTCTTATGGATCTGGGCATGTCAACCCGGTAAAAGCTATTCATCCTGGACTTGTATATGAAGCTTTCAAGGAAGATTACATAAAACTGATGTGCAGCATGGGATACAGCCCAGATAATATTAAACAAGTTTCAGGGGACAACAGCCCTTGCCCCAAAAGTTCTGAAAATGTACCACCTAGGGATCTGAATTATCCTTCACTGACAGCTTCAGTTCCAGCAAACAAGTCCTTCACAGTTAGTTTTCATAGAACAGTAAAAAATGTTGGGCTAGCAAACTCCACTTACAAGGCACGAGTCTCTCCAAACCCAAAATTTAAAGTTAAAGTGGTTCCGGCGGTGCTCTCCTTTAAGGCATTGAAGGAGAAGAAATCTTTTAATTTGACTGTTAGTGGTGGAGGCTTAAAAGAGGAGTCTATATTGTCTACAACATTGATCTGGTCGGATGGCACCCATATTGTAAGAAGTCCAGTTGTTGTACATACGTATCCTAGCATTAGGTTAAATGTTTGAAACTTCAATTAGATTTCTTGTCAGATTGTCATCATGTCGCGTTGAAATAATGATTCTTTTATGAATTCACATTCTACTTCTAATCTGATCATATTTTAATATTTATTTCGAGTCCTGAATCTCGTGATAACTTTTAACCAAGTTGATTTTAAGCACCAATTCCTGATAATAAAACATCCTAGTGATAAAATAATTTCAGATTCATATAATAAATATACAGATTTAATCCACAGATGCACCTGATTTTAAAGAAAGAGTTCTAATTGGATTTAAATTTGCTATGTCATACATGTATGTCATGTCTTGTTTCTATATTTGTTTTTCCTTTTGATCGTGAACAACTTAACCCAGAATTTTAAACAGGGAATGCATGCATACAGATACACATCTTCATTTTTTTTCCCCTTTTCTATCTAATTGGTCTGTACTGGATCCAACGGTATATCAGATTCAGGTATACTTGTCCTGTGAAATCTCATGACAATGGCATCTTGTTCATGTTGCCAAGTCAAGAAAGAATCGTACAAGTTAAAACTATTTCTGGTATAACAAATTGAGGGCCATGTTTGGCCATTTAAAAACTAGTTTTTCTAAAATGTAATAAGGGCATGAAAACTTAGGATTTGTACTTAACAAAGGAGCTTTGCATGGATTTTATTTCATAATCTCAAATAGCAATAGTAGTCGAGGTTCTGCATATCTTTATTTCATAACTGCTGCCTGCTCCTCGCTCTTTTGTTTCATTGCCTGGCGTTACATCAAAATCTGATTGGAATATCTTGTCCAATGTATATACTTATCCTATGGAAATCTGAAGGGGGAATCTCTTGATATAGGATGTTGAATTCTTACAGTTAAAAGGAGTTAAAGACAGGATTTGGCTGTAGCAGAATTAATCAAATTATGCTTTATACGAACTTTCACTATTGACTGCTATTTAAACGAATTTATGCGTACTTCTGTAGGCATTTTTTGGCCATTTACAGCAGCAGATCTTTGATTTAATAACCTGATGATTTTGGCTCCTTGGTCAGGTTCGGATAGAGAGCTAGCTGTTCTAAGATATTCATGCGTTTTAGAATTTCTTTTACTTCTATGGAAGGCCATTTCCTTCCTTAACTGGCCATAAATTTCCCTTAACCATCCATTGGATATATACTTAATACTTGGCTGTAGATCTTAAGATGTTGGATATTCACATAGAAAATCTGGGATATTTAATACCAGGATCATGTCCTGAACCCCATATAAACAAATATCAGCCCATCTGCAATATTGTGCATGGAAAACAATGGCCAATTACAGGTCCCTGCTGTTTCTTGACATTTCCTTAATCCTCATGCTTGGCATAAGCCTATCATCCATAGCCACTAACAAAGATAGAAAGGCAAGTACTATCTTTGTAGATTAACAATGGATTTATACGCGATGAATGGTGACCTGTGATTATATAGGATGAAGATAATGATCATAATGGTGATGCAGGCTTACATTGTTTATATGGGATCGCTTCCTGAGGGGGAATATTTACTAACTTCTAACCATCATAGTATACTTCAACAAGTTATCAAGGACAGGTAATATTTTACTTCTGGCTTAGAGATTAGTCTTAACTCTTACTTGACCATATTCTTTTGAAAATTATTTAAAAGAAAAAACTCTTTCTCGTCAGTTCTGTGGCGGATTCCTTGATCAGAAGTTACAAAAGGAGTTTCAATGGATTTGCTGCCAAGCTCACTGATGAGGAGGCAAAAGAACTGGCCAGTAAGTGGTGCAATGTGCTTTTCACTGCTGTTGTTGATACAGGATATGATTGAAATGGATTGTAAGACCTGTTTAAGTTAAAACTACTATGATATCTGCAGGCATGAAAGAAGTAGTCTCCATTTTTCCTAACCGAATTCTCCACCTTCATACAACAAGATCTTGGGATTTTATCGGTTTTAATAATACAGTTAGACACAATCCTACCATTGAGAGCAATGTCATTATTGGTGTCATTGACAGTGGAATCTGGCCTGAGTCACCAAGCTTCAGTGATGAAGGTTTTGGTCCAGCTCCTAAAAAATGGAAGGGTGCTTGCAGAGGTGGCAGAAATTTCACTTGTAACAAGTACATACCCCAGATTTCTTTATTAAATTCTTCCATTAAGGGATTTTAGAAGCTTGTATAATTCTTTTATTTTCATGTAATATTAACTGATAATTTCACAATTTTGATGCTTAAATTGCTATATATGATCTTATTGAACATGCATTATGCTGCAGCAAGATTATTGGCGCTCGGTTTTACCAGTCACCATCATCTTCAAAAGGGTCTGCAAGAGACGAGGTAGGTCATGGAAGCCATACTGCATCTACAGCGGCCGGGAACGAGGTAAAGGATGTTAGTTTCTTTGGACTTGCACAAGGTACTGCAAGAGGAGGGGTTCCCTCTGCAAGGATTGCTGCATATAAGGTTTGTGGTCCAGATGGCGGGTGTGCATCAGTGGACATCTTGGCAGCTTTTGATGATGCTATTGCTGATGGAGTTGATATTTTAACAGTGTCACTTGGAGCAAGTGATTCGTTTGACTTTTTCAATGACGTCATAGCCATCGGTTCTTTTCATGCGATGGAGAAAGGAATACTTACCCTAAATTCTGCAGGCAATGATGGTGCAGCAGGAGTACTTGGGGTGTCAAGTGTAGCACCATGGATGCTTGCTGTAGCAGCAAGTACCACAGATCGCAAATTCTTTAACAAGGTTGTTCTCGGGAATGGAAAGACCTTAACTGTAAGCATCATAAACTCAACCGTGTTTCTTATTAATACCACAGACTATGGGTACTTGTGCATATGCTTTATGATTCTAGCAGATATAAAGATACACCTTAACACATATCTTTGCTCAATATTCTGATGATTATCTTTGTGCCATCAGGGGTTTTCAGTTAATTCCTTCACTTCCAAGGGAAAAAAGCTGCCTATAGTATATGGACGTGATGTTTCAAGAAACTGCTCTGAACTTTCTGCTGGGTTGGTTCAACTTGACAAACATTTTGATTCATTTGTTCCATATAAAAGGATCAGTGAAATAACCAAAAAGTTCCATTGCTGTTTCCCTTACAGGTTGTGTCTTGAATCATGTGTAGACAGTCATCTAGTGAAAGGAAAGATTACAATGTGTGATCAATTTGTAGGCAATTTTGTAGCTGCTAATGCCGGTGCTGGAGGGTCAATTGTGCTAAATGACCAATATGATAATGTTTCTTTTGTTACGCCATTACCTGCAGTTGCTTTAAACGTTAGAAACTATATTTTGGTCAAGTCCTACGTGAATTCCACAAAGTATGTAGCATGCTACAATTTATTTTTAGGTGTGGCTGCAGCCCTTTCAGGCTTGGTTGAATGACTTTCTTTCCATGTCTTATGTTATAGGAATCCTGTAGCAGAAATATTGAGTAGTGAAACCATTATAGATTTGTATTCTCCGGTGGTTGCTCAATTCTCTTCACTTGGGCCAAATTTTATTGTGCCAGATATTCTCAAGGCATGCGTTTTCTATAACACTCAGTTCTCTCTTTTTATGCACATATTTTCTTCATTTTGTTCATGTACTGCTCTTCATTCCGCGCAGCCAGATATAACTGCCCCAGGAGTCGACATCTTAGCAGCATATTCACCAATTGCTCTGCCCAGTGAGACACCTGGAGACAAAAGGCAACTCAAATATAATGTATTGTCTGGAACCTCAATGTCTTGCCCTCATGTCGCTGGTGTAGCCGCATATGTCAAAACATTTCACTCCGATTGGTCTCCTACAGCCATCAAATCTGCTCTCATGACTACTGGTATAATCTTCTTGGAACACATCCCTGTTTTAATATAGCTGGCTTGGTTAAAAGTAATCTGCCTTTCTAAATCTATATTTCTATCACATCAAATCTTTCTTTGCTGGTAGCTTGGCCAATGGATAGATCCAAAAACCCAAGTGGTGAAATTTCGTATGGATCTGGGCATGTCAACCCGGTAAAAGCTATTCATCCTGGACTTGTATATGAAGCTTTCAAGGAAGATTACATAAAACTGATGTGCAGCTTGGGATACAGCCCAGATAATATTAAACAAGTTTCAGGAGACAACAGCTCTTGCCCCAAAAGTTCTGAAAATGTACCCCCTAGGGATCTGAATTATCCTTCACTGACAGCCTCAGTTCTAGCTAACGATTCTTTCACAGTTAGTTTTCATAGAACAGTAAAAAATGTTGGGCTTCCAAACTCCACTTACAAGGCAAAGGTCTCTCGAAACCCAAAACTGGAAGTTAAAGTGCTGCCTGAGGTTTTATCCTTCAAGGCATTGAAGGAGAAGAAATCTTTTACTGTGACTGTTAATGGTGGAGGTTTAAGAAAGGAGTCTATGCTGTCTACAACATTAATCTGGTCGGATGGAACTCATATTGTGAGGAGTCCAATTGTTGTACATACATATCCTAGTATTAGATCCAATGTTCGATACTTTGATTAGATTTCTTGTGGGCTTGTCATCATGTCAGTCTTCAATGCATTGTAATAATGATTCCTTTACGAATTTCACTTTCTAGTTTTGAACATATTCTAGTTCATTTATCTATTGAAATCTTTTAACCAAGATGATTTTAAGCATAAGCCATTATGTTATAACCAACATTTAATTTTTATTAGATCTCATAATTTAAAATATGATATAATGATATAATATAAATGTATTACAAAAATAAAATATAAAAATAATATAATTTAAAATTTTAATAATAATTATATATAAATTTAATAAAATTAAAATTATTTTATTTTATATTTTATATCAATAAAAATTATGACACATAATTTTTATATAAAATATTATACAAATATATAAATTTTAATATTTTATAAAATGTAAATATACGAATTTTCATATCTAAGATATGCAGTTTCCATAGAACACCAGGGAATGAAGGAACTCAATTCCTGTGAATATTATTTTTTAGATGGGAGGCTTATTAGTAAAAAGTATCATTAACCTCAAATAATTTACTTTACATTGAGTTAAAACGCACCGTTTTGTCCCTTGCTTGGATTTCGGAGCATTTTTCTTCACCAAAAGCCCTCCTCATTCTGTTATTCTACCGGCTCTAATGGCTAATCGCGCCTTTTCGAAATCAAAGTTCCCAACTTTAACTTCAGTCCTCCTTCAAAACCTCACAAAAAACCATATAAGGAGGTCCCCATTTCGTCTTAGCCCTCATTCCACCTCTATAACCCGATTCTCATAAACCCATTTCAGGGTTTAAGCAATATCATGATGGGAGGCCAAGGGGTCCCCTTTGGAAAGGTAAAAAGCTGATTGGGAAAGAAGCTCTTTTTGTAATATTGGGTGTAAAGAGATTTAAGGATGATGAAGACAAAATTCAGAAATTTATCAAGACCCATGTTTTAAGGCTATTGAAGATGGATTTGATTGCGGTTCTTTCAGAGCTTGAACGCCAAGAGGAGACTGCTCTGGCTGTAAAGGTACTCGCATTTTCACTGCTGTTAATTCTTTTTAATGTTTGCTCAATTGGGTTTTTCTTAATGTTTTGGATTCTGTGTTTTTGATTGAAATAAAGAGTGAAATCAGTTTGCTTTTGTTTTGTTTGATCAAATGCTTGAAAGGAAATGTTATATCTTGTAGAGCATTGATTTCGGGTACTTAGATTGAGAATCTTAATGGGTTTTCGTGTTAGTAGTTATAAAAGAGAATCATTCAGCTTTGTCCACTGAAATGGTATTTGTCTGAGAGCACTACTATATGGCTGGTTCTAGAGAATGAGAATAGGTCTTGTTAGTGTTACATACAAAGAGAATTAATCTAATTTAGTCCTTAATAAAGTAGATAAGGTTGCTTCTGAGTTGTAATATCTTCTGCTTGATATTTGTATCTTGTTATTTCAGGTTTTCGAGGTGATTCAAAAGTAAAACTGGTATAAGCCTGATGTCTATTTGTATAAGGACTTGATTACTGCATTAGCAAGATGGGCAAAATGGATGAAGCAATGAAGTTATGGGAATCTATGAGAAACTAAGATCTGTTCCCTGATTCTCAGACATACACCGAGATCATTAGAGGCTTTCTGAGGGATGGATCTCCTGCTGATGCAATGAACATATATGAGGATATGATAAAGTCTCCGGATCCACCAGAGGAGTTGCCATTCAGGATTTTATTAAAGGGGCTTCTACCACACCCTCTTTTGAGAAACAGAGTTAAGAAAGATTTTGAGGAGCTCTTTCCGGAAAAGCATGCTTACGATCCTCCAGAAGAAATTTTTGGCAAAAGCTGAGGTTTGCATAGTGAACTTTTTTCTTTCCTCTTTTTCTAGTTTACTTGCTTTTTCCTTCTTTTTTTTTAAAGAAATAACAACAATAGCTAGTGAAAAGGAATTGACATTTTTTTAGCGTAGTTTGGTTCTTGATTAACAAAAGGTTTAGATATGCAAGCAGCTAATTTAACCAAGTCAATTCTGAAATTATCAACTTGAACTTACCAGGGTTTGGCATCAACCATCACCTCTGTTGAACCATTGCTTCTTGTGCACTCAAATGTATTATTAGGCCAATTTTTCTATTATGATGACACTGTGTCCTAGCGCTTGGCTGCATGGATTTTTAAGGATCATCTTGATCTATATCTGTTTCTGTTAGAACCAAAACTTGTGAATTCTGATGTTTCATTCATGGTTTTGTTCGTTAAATGTTATAAATTGATACTTGATGCTTGTAATCATTTGAAAAAGAACTAGTAATGCAGTTTTTCATTTGACAAATAAAGGGATATAGATCAAAACTTGCACAAGAATGAATTGCACTCATTTACTTTATGAAATTTATTTCCTTCTTTAATTCAAACTTCATTATTTCAGGGTTTCAAATGATTGATCTCATTCATGTAGGAGTGATAGAAACTGACAGCGTAAGACAGCAATGTACCTTAAAGAGGAAGCAAGAATGAGCTATTCCATTGGAGAAGATCCTATATTGCAGATAATCTTCCTGTTCAGAGCTTGAATAGTTGGCATTTGCCCATGTTAATGAGGAGTTCTTTCAACTTAGAACTGTAATGTACCTTACTCACTCACATAAAACTAGTTTTACCTGATTCTTAGAGCTTGTTCCACTGTCTAAATTTGTCCGTGATGTATGTGAGGTTGCACAGGGAAGATAATAGGTAAGATTGCTTGATATTGGCTCTTTCTTTTTACCACCATTTCCCTAGCATGTTGCTTAAACAATGATGCCCTTTCAGCATCTTATTACTGCCAATTAATGACCATAAAATCCTGGTATTGCTGTAAATTAAATAAAAGACTTAAAACTTTGTATAAAAATGTATTCTTAATTTAACGAATTCATTATTATCTCGAAAGAAGGGAAAAGAATGCAGAAAAAAGGTGATAAATGGTTCTGGGGGCATGGTATTTCATTAAAATGGATTTATTAGGTTCATGATGACGCAGTAAACAACAAAGTGGGCGTGCCGGAGTGGTTATCGGGCATGACTAGAAATCATGTGGGCTTTGCCCGCGCAGGTTCGAATCCTGCCGCCCACGCTTTTCCTTTTTATACTATAAGTATAGTGTTGTTGTTGTTGTTTTTTTTTATTTTTTATTTTTTTATTTATTAAAATCAAACATATCCACAGAATTTCCCAAATTTGACCATGTATTGTAGTCACATATCTCTGGACATATAGCTTTGTTTTCTATTTATGGACTTTCGTTTTTAGGAATATCAAGAAAAGAAATAAAGGAAAAGGAGGATATGATTCTGAAACTATTATTTTAAACCTTCAACATGTTAAAAAGTAGTTTGTTTCAAGCTACTGCTACTATTATGGATTCCCTAACAAGGCGCACGAATGTTGCTCAATATTGGTGAACTGATTAGGATCAATTTTCATATTGATTTTACTTAGTATTATCTCACAACTCAGCATTTCACAAATTGGATATATAGTGCATGGACGGATGGATTCCAAAAAAATCGATGGAGTTCAAACATGTAGCAAGAGATAGGACAAATGAGTGATGACACGATCCTTTTCAACATGATGAGACCTAAGAAAGATTCAAGCTCTTATCAAGCAAAATCACAGCATGCTTTCTCAACCATAATTTCCCAAGACGAAATCATCATGTGAAAATGACCACAACATTATCCTAGGATATTTGCCAGGAAAATTTAGTCAAACTATTCGATTGGGTGAGCTGACACTCCAATTTGCTCCACCTCACATGATAGCAAACCCCAATTGGAAACCCATTCCTCGAAAAGCAATGGGATTTGGATAAGTTGAAATGTGGGTAGGAGAGTGTTTATTTCTGATGGAAAAACTCAACCATTTCTCAATTTCTCTTCAGTGAACCCATTTAGTGTCAGACAGCAAAAAAGGAAAGCAGAAGATCAGGGTAAAGGCCAAAGGGTATTCGATGATTCATTTTAGTATCTTCTTCATGACAAAACATAGACAGTATGATCAGCTAGGTAGCTTCAGGCATAATATAAATGGTATCATTTTCATGGTATTTTAGTATCAACTTGGGTATTTGAAAGACAATAATTAAGGTCAACTATTAACGGCACATAAAAGAAAAGAAAAAAAAATGTTGAGTGGGGAAACCACCTTATCTAGTTATCTTGTTGTGGGATCTCTTTCACTCAAACCCTCTTGAAGCTATATCCCAAAGAAAATCATTCCCATGAAGGGTCATTAGCCAAAGGTCAAGAAAAATAGTTAACTCGAGTTTCTTTTTTTTTTTTTTTTGACCCTATAGATCCAAGAGAAGCTGCATTTATCCATTAGAGGACAGATGGCACTGAATGGCGCGCCACTTGGGATGCCAAGTGGACCCCCCGTGGCGCTTATCCGTTATGTTTAGTTGAAAAAGAAGTAAGAGTGTATTATATGCAGGGAACCAAATGTGAATGAGAGGAAACTGCAGAGAAATTTTTCTTCAAATTATCTTTGATTTTAAAAGGAAAAGAGAGAAAAAGAAGAGAAAATTATTACCATAAAATATTGTCATAGGGCACCTTTTTGTTGATGATGATGGGCACATATGCTGCACTGCCAATGGCAATTAAATTTGCGTATATATTTGATGGTTGTTGAGACAGTTTTAGATACATCCTCCCATGTACTGTGATCTTCACGAGCACTCCTGTTTCCCTTTGTATCTTCTCTGCAAATCTTATCTGTTTTTTTTTCTTTTTTAAACTGGGGTAGTCTTTCTTGAAAGGTGTTTATACATAGAATTTGAGTAGTTGTTTGACAAAGAAGAAAAAGGAAATGGAGGATAAGAGACAAGTTGATTCTTCTTCCTCATTTACTGCTGATCTTTTTGGCTCCAAGGAACCATCATCATCATCATCACCATCAAAAGGGATTTTTAGTTCCATTTTTCCTCCTCCATCCATGGTATATACACTGTTTTTATATTGGGACTGCATTTCTTCTGGTTTAATTTTTTCAGCTCCTTTCTTGCTTCTCTTTTTATAGATTGGATTCTGCTGATTGGACATACTTCATTATTTTTTGTTTGGCCAAAGACATACTTTAGTTCATATCTGATGTTTTAATTCAATTTTTATACCACTAGTTTTGTCTAAATAGAGTATGAACTTTTTATAGTGTTTGACATGTCTAGTATTTTTCCTTTTTCTGAAATATGACTTTTAAAATATAAATCAGAACTCTTTAACCTGAAGCTGAAAAGTGAAAAGTCCCATATCCAACAGCTTTTGTATTTTAGAAATTCAATCAAAGGCTGAAAGTGCCAGTTCTGGTTTGATGATGGATTGACTGTTTCCTACGTATTTATTAGATCTCTTCATTCTGCTCATTACTAAATCTTTTGTTCTGGAACACAAGGAGAAACTGTGGACTAATTTCTTTAATCAGATTTATAATCTGATAGGGAACTTTCTTTATTTGAAATTTCAGGTGGCAGGGAGGAACGCCTCGGGCTCTAAGGTTTTAGAATCTTGGCCAAAACAGCCAGAAGGTTCAGCTTGGAGACATGGAATGCAAGGTTGTTGATCAGAATATTTTGTTTTCTTATAATTTCAGTTCATTTCTTCCCTCAGCCCTTAGGTGAAGACCTTCCATATTGCTTGAATTGTGCAGGAAAACAAATTCCAAGTCTATTTGCTTGTCAACTCAAGTACTTTTGTGTCAATAGGAGCATATCCTCAGAATTTTTCTGTATTCAGTAAGAGTCATCTGAGGACCTATTATCAATTGTTCTTTGCACTGCTTCCTTTGAAGCAGTGTTCCTGTTAATATTGATTTCCCCCATTTTTTCAAAATTATTGTCCTCATTTTGTGAAAAATTTACTACTTCTTGCTTGACAATGTAAAACTAGTGTCCTGATAATATTGTCTGATTAGTTTGTTTTTTTCTTGTTTTGCTCATATAATGTAGCTCCACTTGCCGGGGGTGCAACCTATAACATACCAAACAAGGAGAGGAACTCTGTTTTTCAGGAAGAAAGGGTGGAACCATGCCATTTAAGTTCATCCCTTTACTATGGTGGCCAAGACATATATTCCCATTCCTCGAGTAGCCAAACTTCTACATCATATCCTATTGTGAGTCTTGACTGGTCGACTCTGATACAAAAACTACTTTCTGCTAGATGTATGAAAGTAATTGTTCTATATATTTTGTGAATGAATAGTTTAAGAAAGATGGAGGAGAAGATGACCCAAATGGAAACAATTCACAGGATGCTTCTAGAGGTAATTGGTGGCAAGGTACTGATATTCTAGATGAAGCTTCAAATGGATAATTAATGCAACTATGAATTCAGACTATACCAGTATCTCAAAACTTGACTTGGATTTCTGCAGGTTCGCTTTATTATTAGAGCCTAGCCTTCCAATGCATATGAATTCTCCATCAGTTTTCCAAGGTATTTCATTTACAAAACTTTACTACTTTTCTTTCTTAACCAAACCCTTTCACTGCAATACCTATACAGTTTCTGAAACCAAATTGCATTGTTCCATATGAACCAAGAAACTAGCAAATATAAAAATGATCAAACTTATGATATCTGCATGGCGAAGAAAATGTGCACTTGTTTATCCCAAGACAAGAGTTATAGCATCTGCTATATTTCTTTGAACAAACTTCTGAAGATTTCAGTTCGGTTTCTTATATACTCTTTGTTAATCTCGGCATTTGCAGGAATTCATAAAGCAAGCAAATAATCATGGAAGACATGAATTATAAACAAATTTGTGACATGGACAAAGCCTACTTTGGATTCTGTAATATGATATATTTTTCATGATTTTATCTGGAAATGAAGGTTGAGAAGTCCTCCACTACATCATATACTCTGCTCTTGGACAAGTTTTCTTTGGCTGAGGAGAGTGGAATATGTTTAGATGTTCTCACTCCCCCCTGATGTGTGAAAGGGCTGACAAATGATAGATAATTTAGGCTTTCCTTTTTAAATGTCATTATCGATGCTTGAGATTCTGTATCGAAAATGCCATGTCTTTGCTATGTATGAAAGTTGCACAACAAAAGTTAAAATACAAGCAATATCCTTTTCCACTATCATACATAAGGATTCCCCTTTCAAGGATTAAAAAAAATTAAAAGCAAGATAAGTGCAGTGTAAATAGAATATCAACAGAACTTCCAGTGGCAGTGAGCAAGAAAGCTATTTCCACTGCTATAATTTTACTGACCGTGTCTGGATGCAAAAGCACATGGTTCCAAGTGCAGATATGAGATATCCCATTTTTCTTAAAGATGTTTGCAAATAAATATGTAACGCACGTTGCATACCATCCCACTTGCATTTCTTGCCAAAATTTACCAAGAATTTATAGATCCACAACATGTGGCTGCCAAAAGTAACCATGCTATGAACATGCCATGTGATCTTTGTATGTGTCTAGCTGAAAGAGATTATAGCCATTAAATTCAAAAACCAGAAGAATTTGATTGAAAAGTTTTCCTTAAAATATGTAAATTACCTCCATGTCAGTGACCATTAAGAATCGGCACCTGGAATGATCAGTGATACTATTGTCTTCATCCTGGTAACCCTTGGCTATAACAGCCTTCAGGCAATGAAGCAGTTTGGTTCTGTTCAACTTTCTTGACTTAAGGTGACTTTTGACAGGAACTTTGTTAATTACCTCGCCTGCTGCCGCAATTGCAGAAAGATTTGTTGTACAACTCTTCCCCTGGTCTCAGGACGGTCATAACTATCAATGAGGTAGCGATCAAAGAAATCCACCAAGTCTTAAAAGAGATGCAACATTAACGAGAATATTATTGATTCTTGCACCACTTGCTGTGACCAACATTGCTATGTTAATTAATTGGATTTTGGTATTTACAATATTCTTCCCTTGACATGCAGAGAAATAGTCTTTCATATGCAGTTGTCATTTTGGTGGCGGTGAACAACTGCAACCCTCTTTGTCTAGCAGCCTTGCCTTTCTTCTCCAAAACCTCTCTGCCATCATTCCAAACCCTATAGAGAGCCTTCTTTAAGGATCCCACACTAGGTGAGAAAGTGTAACCCACTTCTGGTCCGATGATTACCGACCCTGTGATGCTGGCAAGTCTTGTAGCCATTACTGGTTTCCCAGTGAGCATTGCTTCTAACAAAGTATGATCCAATCCTTGAGCTCGGAAAGTTGGATTCACAAAAATATCTATTGCATTATAAAACCTTGCTAATTGAGCTTGTTCCAATGAACCTAAAACAAGTATATTTGCCCCAAGATCTCTGTATCTAGCACCCCAAGGACCATCACCAGCAACAAGAACAACAATACCTTCTCGGAATTTGTTGTTTTCCATAAATATTTGCTTCAAAGCTTCAAAAATCAAAGGGTGCCCTTTGTCTTTCACCAGCCTCCCAGCGATTCCCAATATCAAAGATCTACTTTTTAAGATTCCAAACTTCTCTTTAAAATCATTTCCTTGCAAGAAATCAGGTTTGAAAGTCTCTTCATCTACTCCATTAAGAATGATGTGGACTCGTTCTTCTGGGATCATGTAAATCCTTTTCAGGACATCTCCAGCATGATCACTTGTAGCAACATGGTGAGAATATCTAGGAAAAAACCTCACCTCTTCAACAACTTTCATAGCTCTTTCAGTCAGCACGTAAGCCTGTTGTTCTTCAGGAGTCCGCAGAAGCTCTTGAATGATATCAGAATGAATGGTTTCATATGCAATTCCATGCCAAGTAACAGCTAGATTTGTCAGGTTCTTTGCTCGAGTATGCAAAAGTCCAACGCTTTCTGTGTGGACCACATCAAATGGTCTTCCAGTTGAGTTTTGAGTTTGAAATTGCTTCCAGACCACGGCCTGCTCCAGATAACCAGCAGCTGTTGGCTTGAAAGGCGAAAAATTAAATTGCTAATTGATATTCTTGGAAAAGAAGGAATTTGGAGGGAAGTAGTGAAAATGTTGCAGCTCATGACCCCTTTTCGCAAGGCAAAGTAGATCAAGGCATGCCGTTCAAGTCCTCTGCATGGATCGATGAGCCAGTTCTTGACAAAAAGGGCAATTTTAAGGATTTAGGAGGAGCTCAGAAGGGAAAACAAGAAGATTCCAGCAGAAGGGAATGTTAGTAGATCAATGTTTCCTTTGGCTTTTGCATCATTATTTGGTTTATGGAATACAATTGCTGGAAAGTGACACCAATAAAAGATTGAGATGAAAGAAAATGCAGAAAGGATTGCAATTATGCAGCAGAAATAATGGAACCTGAAGATAGTAGTAATCTGCTCCCTTGCCATGAAACTCAGAGACTTATTTGGATTACATGAGAACTTTCAACAAAATTTCCCTAGCAAAACCTTTGAATCAAGATGCAGAACATGAGTCTAAAATACCTGGGGATCAGTTTTGACAAGTTATTATACTAAATAGTTTCTGATTCAAGTTACTAGCACATGGTCTTTACTTGCATAAGAGAAGCAAAATCCAGGAAATGAGCCATTTCCAATGGACTGCCTTTTCAAGAGTAAATAAATCAGCTTCAGCAATAGCAAGTTATCATTGAAAAATTCATTGACTCGAGTCTCGATGGGTTAGTTTAACCTATTATCCTAGTTTATAAGTCCTATTATTTCTATAAACAAAAAGGGAATCTGGAAATGTTGCATTGCCAACTGCTCAATCACAGCATTTAATATAAGAAAACCCCAAGTCCCAACACAATCAATTAAAATATTCAACACTGCAAACCTACCAAATTATGCTCCTATGCCACTAGATCGTCTAATGAGTTAGTGTCAAACTGTGAAATAAATTTGTAAGACACATCAGAGACACATGCATGTAGTTTAGATATAATTCAAAGTAGTTGAATTTCCATGTTCTAAGTAAAAGTGAAATTTAAGGCTGAAATGTTTTATTAGTAGCAAAACTCTTGAGAATCTAAATGAAGGACAAAGAATTCCATAATGTTTATACATCCATTATTTCTAGCGAGTGAAGGCATAAAAAACAATACAAACATAGACACCAAGAGCCAAAGGGACCAAAACTACCAAAGGACCAATGGCAGCAAAACTGTAAAGACTCCCACAGCTCAAGTCCCCAACTTAATCTGAACCATAGCTATCAAAGCCATCGTCAAAAACCCATATCCAAAAATCGAACCAAAACCTGAAACCAACGTCCCAACCCTTAAAGCAATCAAGTTCACATCCACAGCACTGGCGCTAACTCCATTCTCTGTCACTTCCTTGCTATCTTTGCTTATTTTTATGGCTTGTTTGATGGCTGATGCAATCAGGCTAGAGAAGAGGAAAGAGCTGAAGGAGTACACGTGGCATGCAATGAGGTTCTCGGCGACGTTGGAGGCAGCCGCGCAGGCAGGGGAGCTGGCGGAGTCTATGAGGGTGGGGGTGGGGTACCATGTAAGGCCAAGGAATAAAGCGAAGGTGAACAGTGAGTTGACGTTGACTATCCCGTCTAGTGCCATCACGTGGATGGTGGTGGTGCCGATCATGTGGCGGTGGACGGAGGATGTCGGCGGAGATGGGGCGGAGGGACGTGGAGGAGAAAAGAGGAATTTCAGCGGAAACATTCTTGGGTTTTGGAACTGACGATTGCTTTGGAGGTTCAAATAAAAATTGAAGGAAAAGTGAAGGAAACTTTTGAGACTTGTTTTTCCGTTTGCGTGGATTTCCCGCCATGGAAAGGTACTTGCAGTTTTGGTAAAAAACAAAGATATAATAAAAACCGCCGTTGCCGGGGATCGAACCCGGGTCGCCCGCGTGACAGGCGGGAATACTCACCACTATACTACAACGACTTGGTTGAAAGGTTAAAGCAAATAATACTACATAACTGTTTGTTGTTATTCGTAAAAACGTCATTCAACATGATCACCTTTGAAGGAGTGTCTTCAACATTTGTCAGCGGTACTAATTAAAAATACTACTGAACATTTGATTACTTGGTTTATAGGTCATGATTCTTAGTAAAAGCTAAGCTATAATATGTTAGAACAAACTTTTAAAAATATGAAATTACTGCTTTGATAAATTTGAAATTTGGAGAAAAAGTTTTAAAACGTATAAGAATGTAATTTTTTTAAAAATTTTATTTATTTTTATTGTATTATTTATTTAATAAGTGTGTAAAAATGTTACAAGTGATAAATTTTAAGAATATAATGAAATTTACTAATTAATTATGTTTTAAATTGATAAAATTAATTCACTAAATAATTATTGACATATTACAAGATTATCGAATTTTTATAAAAAAATTTTGTAACAAAATTAAAAAAAAAAATTATGAAGTTTATTGAAGAAGGAAAAGTTTTGAAATTATTTTTTTAATTTTTTAGAAAACCAAAGGAGCTTATATAAACAATTAAGTGTCCTTTTATTTTACAAATATAATTATTTATTTTAAATAAGTAAAAGTTGTTTATTTTTTAACAATCATAACTATCAATTTGAATAGATTCATCTGTTATTTTATACAAACTTAACTAATTATTCTTATTTGTCTATCTATTTTTAGGCAAATTTAATTAATCAAATGCTTAAGTAAACTTTAAATTAAAATAAAATAATATTTTATTTATTGTATGTGCCAAGTGTCATTAATTAAAAATTAATAAATATTAATTATTTAATTAATACAAGACCAACAAAGCTTGAAAATCCAAACTCATGATCCATTAACCATTTAAGTCCAATTATAATAAACTTTTACTCCTTAATTTAAATGATTATCTTATTCGTTTCTTTTTCAATGTAAGACTATTTTCCATCCACTATTTTGAAAATATCTAACATAATCAATAATATTATTTAAGGATAGCAAGTATGCATATCAGATCAAATATTGATCACAATCATTTCATCGATTGTTAATTAATTTAGAAGATAAAATTCATAACATAATTGAAAGACTAAAACCATGGTGTTATAAGTTGTATCTCTAAACACAAATTAAATTAAGTTTCTTTTAAAAATGACCCTTTCATTCATTTTGTGAGGGCATTTAAAATTTTAAATTTCAACACACGTTGAAAATTGAGAGCAAAGAAGTCAGCATCAGTCTCCAATCAACTAATCAGTGCCAATGAACCGTTACCACCATCCTTATTTTGTGCCGTAAATCATGGAGATATAGACTTGGTAGATATACAAATATAGATTCTTCTAGCTAATCCAAAACTAGAGCATACAAATCGTGCTATTAATCTTTATTTTGTCTTTCAATGTCATCCACTTAGACTGCATTGTGCAATTCAAGGGGCTGAGATTCTAGTGGTTTAACTGTGAGATTTTTTGATGGCTGAGATTCATACAATGATCTCTTCATGTTACAGGAATGTTGGAATTGTATCAGCTATAAAAGA